AGAAAATTGCTCAATTACCCGTGTCGAATAGGGCAAGAAGGAACTTGTTTCGATGCCTGCACTTGGATACCATAGTTTGCAGGACTTCTAGATATATTATATAAATTGGATGTTTTATCGGAAAAAGTATATGTAAGTTTACTATTGCATATGGTAGAATGTCATCATTTAATTTGTCTCGGAAATTATTGTATACTTTACAAAATTTAATGTTTTTTATAAGATCTATCAGATCGTTTTCAAATGTAGACATCAGAAATTTGTTAGGGATAACTTGATGTTTTTATGCCGCAATTGTTATAAAAAATATTTTCCTTACTTTTTTGATCTTTATTAAGAAAAATTTATACTTTCTAATATAAACTCTGAACTTGTAAAGAAACTTCATCTAAATCAGTGAAAAAAACCCAAGATACCACAAACTGTTTTAATTGCATCAGTGATAAACGCCTTTATAAATTCCTTATTTTTGATATTGTTGATTTTTACCCTTCGATATCTGAAAAACTTCTTAACAACGCTATTCATTTTGCTGAGCAGCATCTAAACATTGAACCTAACCAGAAAACATTAATCTATCATGCAAAAAAATCATTATTATTTAACGATGATCAAATTTGGATTAAAAAATCAAGCAGTTAATTTGATGTTTCAATGGGAGCATTTGATGGTGCTGAAGTTTGTAATCTTGTGTGAATTTATATTTTGTTTCGAATTGCACAGTTTTATGGTAAAAATGATTTTGGATTGTACCGCGATGATGGTTTAGCAGTTTTTAAAAAAATGAGTGGTCCCCAAATGGAAAAAATCAAAAAACATTTTGTTGAAATATTTAAAAAAAACGAACTCACTATACCAATACAGTGCAACATGAAAATTATAAATTATCTTGACGTCACATTAAATCTCAATGACAATACTTTTCAACCATATTCTAAGCCCGGGAATTCTATAAACTATATTCATGTTGATTCAAACCACCCGTCTAATATTTTAAAACAGCTTCTGCATTCAATTGAGTTAAGATTGTCTACAAATTCGTCAAATGAAGAAATCTTCCGAAAATCTACTCCTATGTACAATAACGCGCTATTAAGATCCGGTTTTAATCACAAACTTTCATGTCACCCTAATTTAAATTTACCATATACCAAAAACCGTAAACGAAATACCATATGGTTCAACCCTCCTTTCAGCAAAAATGTTAGCACTAATATAGGAAAAAGCTTTTTAACCTTAATCAACAAACACTTCCCAATAAATCACAGACTCCACAAAATTTTTAACAGAAACACGATAAAAATAAGTTATAGCTGTATGCCGAATATGAAATCTTTTTTAAATGCACACAATCAACAAATTATTAACAACAACAAAATTCCACCTAAAACCAACTGCAATTGCCTTAATAAAAATACCTGCCCTTTATCAAACCAATGCTAAACAAAAAACATTGTATACCAAGCCAATATAAGTTCCAATAATCCTACTAACACTCCTATCAACAAATTCTACATCGGTATAAGTGAAACACCATTCAAAATTAGATATGCCAACCATATAAAATCATTTAACATTCTAAAATACAAAAATGACACCGAATTATCAAAAGAATTTTGGAAATTAAAAGATGCCAACTTAAACCTAGTTGTCAAATGGAAATAATGCTTACAACCAAGCAACGAAGCCCTGCAAACTATGCACATACGAAAAATATGAAATTCTATTTTCCAAAAATAAAAATCTGCTAAACAAAAAAAGTAAAATGGTATCCAAGTGCAGGCATCGAAACAAGTTCCTTCTCGCCCTATTCGACATGAGTGATTGAGCAATTTTCTAATTAATTAAAAAATTGTTTGTTTTGACGTCAGAACTCATTCCATTGTTTTGTTACGGTTTTTTTCTGTTAATTTCTATATTTTGTATTTTTTAACGGTTTTTTCTTAATTTAAAGAATAAAATATGACTGATGATTGCCAAAGGGCATGAAACTTTAAGTTCCATCACAAAGTTGTATTTTTTCAAATAATCAAACTCTTAATATAATATAATATATTTATATATATATATATATATATATATATATATATATATATATATATATATATATATATATATGTATATATATGTATATAGATATATATATATATATATATATATATATATATATATATATAGATATATATATATATATATATCTATATATATATATATATATATATATATATATATATATATATATATATATATATATATATATATATATATATATATATATATATATATATCTATATCTATATCTATATCTATATCTATATATATATATATATATATATATATATATATATATATATATATATATATATATATATATATATATATATATATATATATATATATATATATATATATATGTATGTATGTATGTATGTATGTATTAGGGTTATGACTTTTTAACTTTTTGCAAAAGAATTAATTTCCTGTGTCATAAATTGATGAACTTTTGCTCAAAAGTAATGAAAACAGGTTGTTTTTTTATTAATTTTCAAAAAAAAGTCATCCCCAACACAAAATTTATAAAATGGTATATAAGTAGTATTTGCAGTCAGTAGCATTATGACTTTCTGAAGCCTAGAATATCCTTGAATCTTATGAAACCTTTTAGAATTTTCTGGACTGTTCTGGATGCTTTTAGAAATTTCTAAAATTTTCAAGAATTCTCTAGAGTCTTCTAAAAGTTTATGGAAATTAGCAAGGTATAGACTATATAAGCTGCCTGATTGAGCAATGCTAATAACAATATATGAATCTGTATTCGCCAGATGGCGAAATATATTCAAGTATTATCTTCAATCATAATGTCCTAATAAAAAAGTGCATCCACTACTTAAAGAAACAAGACAATCTGGATAAAGAACCTCATACAATTTTATGAATCACATAGGAAAACTCAGTTAAACTCAGTGAAAAAGTTTTAGAGTCAGGAACTATCTCAAGACTGGAAATTCCAGAACAAGTCAGTGTGAAAAATGAGCAATGTGTCACAAGATCTTTTTGACATCTATAAAAAGAAAGAGAACCACCAGCTTGTATTTATTTTGTCTAACAAAACATAAGAATTGTATATTATGCATCAATTAAGCTTAACATTGCACAGCATTTTTTCGATATATACAGTAGCTTTTCATACTTGTAGAATTGTTATTTAAGTTTGTAACTTTGTATTTATTTGTAATTTAAAGTGCATGATGTAACAATATATGTTTTAATATGTTTAGAATGCTATGATGTAACAATACACTGCTAAATGCTTAAAAACTATGTAATAACTCTCCAATTAAAGAATAAAGATCCTAAAATTCTTTGAAATTTTATGCTAACACATATATGTTTAATTCTTATTTTTGGTTTGTGTTTGACCTTTTTTAACAAGAAAATCAAAGTAGTGTTTTTTTGATTAAACATTAAGTGATATACAATTAGGGATGGCAATCCCGGGATCCCGAAATCCCGGGATTTTGTACAAATTGTTCATCCTAAAATCTCGGGATTAGTCTTCGAAATTTTCAGGGATTTCGGGATTGTCAAAAAAAAAGTAAACGTTAATATAGTTTAAGCTTATAATTGTAATTAAGTTATTTGTGTATATATATATATATATATATATATATATATATATATATATATATATATATATATATATATATATATATATATATATATATATATATGTATATATATGTATATATATATATATATATATATATATATACACACACATATATAGTATAATATTAAAACTAGTATATTATAAAAAAGAAATTAAATTTTAGCGTTTGCTGGTGGAAAGAGCAAGTGTTTTTAATAAAAAATTTTAATAGAAGGTTTTTTTCTATTAAACTAACTTTAATAGAAAAAAACTTTAACAGTAGGTATACCTCAGGCCTATAGCAACCAGGTGGGCAGCAGGGGCACTTGCCCCCTCCCCTCAATAATTTTTCAAATAAATAACTTTGAAGAAATTGATTAAAAAAAAGACTTTTATTAAAGTCATTTTAATTTTAATTTTATTTTTATTTCCATTAATTTTAATTATGTATGTGATTTACAAAAGTTTTTTTTCTAAGTCAGTTTAACTAATAAAGTTTAAATTAACAAAAAACAGGTTTATCAAAATACAAAATTTTCTTAGCGTCTGTTTAAGTAATGCATATTTATATATTTTTCTAATTATTGTTTTGACTTATACTGTGTTACAATTTTAAGGTATTGTTTTATAATTTAAAGCACTTAGGTTCATTAATTTTTAAAAGTCTTAGATAAGTTTTAATATAACAAAATTAAGATAAAACATGTTTGTAACTTAATTTTAGGTTCGTTAATGTATTAAATGTTTTAGTTATATTATCACTAAACTAATCATTTTTAAATGTTTAATGAGTTCTTAAAAAGTAATTGTAGCGTTTTTAGTAGTGTATTTTTCTATTCAATCCCGGGGACAAATTTCTCAATCCCGAAATCCCGGGATTGAAAATTTCTGGGATTTTTGCCATCCCTATATATAATACTGCAGATTTGCATTTTGCCATCCCTATATATAATATTGTAGATTTATCAAATGAAAAATTTCTTAATCACTTGTAGCCCTAGTCTTAAGCTTAAATACTTCTTTCTTAATTTTTTAATCTCTTGTAGCTTCAATACAACATAACATAAAGACATAATATATATATATATATATATATATATATATATATATATATATATATATATATATATATATATATATATATATATATATATATATATATATAATTATAAAAATATAGTAAAATATATAAAAATTTTATGAAAATAATATTAAACTCATAAAAAGTTATGAAATCTTATATATTTTGTAATACGAAATGTATTAAAAAGTTGTGAAAATATTATAAGATATATAAAAATATTATAGAATACATAAAAAATTATAAAAATAATGTTTTGACTATCATTACCTTTTCATGCAAATCTGCAATAGGAATCTTTAAAAATGGCTTTAAAACATCTTCAACTTCTGTTAATGACTCCTCAAATGCATCCATTTTTTTATGTAAGGTTGGAGGAAAATCAGACATTTTTATTAATTGCTAAAAAAGTTATTTACATTTCAACAAATTAAGATTCTAACTTTCAATACCAGCAATTTTGCGATATTTTTTGCACACAAATTCTGACGTAAATATTGATGAAAATGATGTAAAAAATCAGCTTTGTCTCATTAGTGTTTTTTTTATTTTTTTACTGTAGTAAATCTAATGTTAAAAAACTTTGCTTTTAAAAATACTAAAATTAAACCAAAGGACTTTTGCATAATAATGATCTAAAATAACTAGTAACAAAAAAGGGAGGGAGGTGTAAAAGCCAGATAAATTTTGAAAGACATCAATAAGAACGATAATAATAAACTTCAGCTTCTCTAAAACCTTTTCACTCCATTTGCATCATTTTTTATTTAAAAAAATACAATATTGCTCAACTTGGCACAAAGTATTTTTATTGAATATTGAAAATCTTTTAATAAACTTTATTATACAGTATGAAAATATAATTTTTTATTTATATTAATTATTAGTAATCTCCTATATTAAATATAAATGTAATTACTTCCTCTTCCTATAATACAACTACTAATAAAAATAATAATAAAAATAATTACTAGTAGTACTATCAACATATTTATCAGATATCAGTAGATATGTACATGCAAAGATTTATAAATTTGTTGCTAATATAACTTTTTATTATAAAACTTTTATAACTGTTAAAATTATAAAAGTTTTTTTAATATTTATAATTATTGTAATTTTAATATTTATATTGTAATTATATTTAACAAAATTTAATTAAACTTAACTATATAATTACAAAAATGGTTTAACTCTATCAAAGGATTTTGATTTCTTTATTTTTTATTTCTTTACCTCTATAAGGTTGTGGGGGCCAACACAGTAAAGAAGGCTGATTAATCTAGCTAAAGTGCTTACAAATTGGGTTGATCAATAGCTGTATATTTAGGAAATGACATTGAAGTGTGAAATATTGGTTGTTCAAAACTTTAAAACAACCATGTACATGGCAATATATAGTTTATACTAATGCAATATTTTCCAATAAAATAATTAAATATTTTATTAGGTTTACACATTCATAATTTTTACATACTACTATTGCTATTAAAATGGAGAATTGCTGTTACAAGGGAGAAAGGGAGAACTGTATTATCAAACTTAATAATCCTTAGTAATACATTAAAAAACTTGATTGTAAATTGAAACTAAAATCTAGTTGAGCAACTGACTTATTTCTAAGAACCCTTTATTTATTTAAAAGATAACTTTTAAAAAAAAGAAAAACAAGTTATACAATCTATATATAGTATTTATGAATATATATAAAAAATATGGATTAATTACAATTTCTGTTAAAATGTAATTTATACTATCATAAATATGCTATCAATAGACATATGGTTAATGGTAGGTCATATGTTGGGAAAGTATACAAGAGTTATAATAAACTGCTATTTTACTATTTGGATCACCACCACCAACAACAACAACAAAAAACTAATAAACAAGAATCAAATATTACTGAAATCAATTTTTATATTTAATTTATTCATATAAGTTTTTATAAATATTTCTAGTGGTAGATAAAAAGTCCACATAACTATAAATTTGTAGAAAATAAAAAACTATCAACACATTTTACAATATCTAAAGGCATACAAAAAAACTTCATGAAAGTGAATGTGTATGAATACTTGTTGAAGACATCATTTTGAATATTTTTTAATTAACATAACACACAAAACACCTAACGTTAAGCCAATTAAAAAACCAGATAATGACAGTGAAGATCCTGCTTGATCATTTTCTTGGTTAGAACTTTTTTCACTAAACGTTAAAGATTCAACGCTTGAGGAGAGTGTATGAATATCAGCCTAAAATTACAATCAAATAATAAATTCAGCTAAATAATAAATGATAAAAATGGTTAAAACAATTTATGTGAAACTTTAACAAAATGTTTTATCAATCTTTTTTTTATTATAAAAATGTTTGAAAAAAAATATATTACTATCCAAATATAAAATTATTACTAACTAGGTATGCAGAGCCCTATAAGAAAATCATTTAGTCCATAAAAAATTTAACAAATACTAGGTGTTACACATGTTATGCTATTTATAGTATTATTTATTGTGGCATATTAATTATATTATTCATTTAGTATTTAATTTTAATATTAAGCCACAATACAATCTAAAATAATTTATGTATAAAAACATTAATTAAATAATGATTATCTAATTATAATTAAAGAAAGGGTCCCCAAATATGTATTGTACACATAATATATGATTGCAATAAATAACTTCATTCAATTTTTGTCATCACTCAGTCCAATGATATTAAATGTAATGAACAAAAGATATTGCAGAAAAAATCATGAATGCAAAAAAAGTTGTGAATAGAAGTTTGAATGCAAAAAATATTTCAGAAAGAATCACTAGCAATATTGGTTATGTAAACCAATTACAGAGATCAATTACACATTTAATAAACAACTGTCTGATGGTAATAGTAAATTAACATCAAAAGCAGGCTACAAAAAGCAATATAGAAAAAATCAAACACAAGCTTATCATACTGCTAAAAGTATCAGCTATGCTTGATAAAAAATGCAAGAATACAAAAAACATGATTCATATACTGATACTTGCTTCTGTAGTTAACAGGTCCACGTTTAACAACAATTGTCATAATCACAGTTCATTACACATTTTTTGTTTACTGCATCTTAAAGAAAAGTTTTTGATCAGCTCAGTCTGAAATCACTGCCTAACAGTTTGATAAAAGTAACCGTATTTTAAGTGAATATATATCAAGTAAAAGTATGTTATGTAATGAATATGATATATATACATACAGGCACTTGAAAATTTATCAGTAGATATAGCTTTTTTAGACTTTGCCAAAGCCTTCGACTCAGTTGCACATAAGAGACTATTATTAAAACTACAATCCAATGGGATCCAAGAACAACTATTATGTTGGTTTAAAAGTTTTCTAAGCAAACGAACACCAAGAGTGGTTCTCGGTGAGATAACATCTGAGTGGAAAAAAGTAATAAGTGGAGTACCACAAGGATCAGTTATTGGACCCCTTTTATTTGTCATATATATAAATGATTTAACAAGTAACTAATCATTGCAAATTATATGCAGATGACACAAAAATTATTTCAGTCATCAATACAGTTGAAGACAGTCGAACGTTACAGCAAGGCTTATGTAAGCTGGGTGAATGGAGTGAAAAATGGCAAATCAACTTCAATAAAGAAAAATGCAAAATTAAATATCAGCAAAAGAAATTTAAAATATAATTACTTAATGTGTAGCACATTCGATATAATTCAGCAAAATGCTTTAGTTATGGAAGAAACCAGGTTAGAGAGCGATCTTGGTGTAATAATATCAAACAACATCAAATGGGAAAAGCATATCAACACAATTGCGGCAAGGGCTAATAGAAAGCTTGGTCAGATAAAGAAATCTTTTTTTCGATTAGATGAAATTTCAATGAAACATTTATACACATCATTGGTTTGTCCACACCTGGAGTTTGCAGTGCCGGTATGGAACCCTTACTACCAGAAGGATATTGATAAAATTGAAAAAATACAACGTAGGGCTACACGAATAAATAGTTTAAGAAACTTTTGCTATGAAGATAGACTGAAAAAATTTAACTTGACTACTTTAAAAACAAGAAGAGAAAGAGGCGATTTGATTCAATTTTATAAAATAAGTAAAAATATGGATAAAGTTAAAGGAATTATCCTCCTAAAATAATTAAATATGCAATAACAAGAGGTCATACTCAGAAAATACAAAAACAATTCACACATTCTACCACAAGATTTAACTTCCTTAAAAACAGAATAGTTAACAATTGGAATAATTTAACAGAGGAGATAATTAATTCTAAAAATGTGAACATCTTCAAAAACAAGTTTGATCGTTTCGAAAAAAATATATATATATATAAAACAAATAAAACAAAAAAATATATATAACATTTAAAAAGGAAAAAAAAACCTTTGCAACGGCTGTCAAAGTTTTAGCATCTACAGATGTTAGACTCACACATTGTATGTGTACAGCAAAAATTTATTATTATTATTATTATTATTATCATTATTATATATATATATATATATATATATATATATATATATATATATATATATATATATATATATATATATATATATATATATATATATATATATATATATATTCATACATATATATACACAGTGGTGTACAATTGGATTTTGGTCTGTCACCGATTGGGCAACTGGGAGCAAAAATTTAGGTAACATCATTTGCCTGCTAATATTTCGAGTCATCCATCACCATTTTTTTTATTTTTTTATTTCGCATGAGGCATATTTCTTGTGCTGTTAAGTCATTTTTTGATACAGTGCTGTAGGTTAGAAAATATTTTTACAAACCAAAATAATTATTAAAAACTATTGGTAATATGAAAGCACACATCTGCATGAATGATTTTAGTTTTCCTACTTGCTTTAAGTGCTTTTTTTATAAATATATATTTTTTAACACAATGAAGCCTTTAAAAAATGAATAAAGTTTACAAGAATACTTATGAGTTTAAGGCAATAAAACAATATTCAAAAATGGTTTTTATCATTATTATTATTATAGTCCTCAGTCTTCTCCGTTTAAAATTTACTGCCAGCGCATTAAAAAGCGCTGGCCGCATAGTAATTATTTGTCTGGCGTGCGCTATTTTAGAAAATATTTGTTATTTAATTAGAATTTGATTAAGAAAAATGATTTGCTGCAATTTAAAAACAAAATTTTTTGGCAAACGCTTAAAAAAGCGCCAGCTGTAGTATTGGCGGGCCCACAATAATGCTGAAAAAACTCAGTGAGAGAGCAACAAAACAAGTTAATGAAAATCAAATTAATTTGTTCTTTTTTTAGTAAATTTTAGCTAAAGTTGCTAATTTTTAACAACTTTTAATTAAACAGCTCAAAGTGAACAAAAATTTTAACTAACAACTTAAACTTTTTACTTTAATGGTAATCATTAAAGTTGTTAATTCAAAGTTTAATAAAATAAAAACTAGGAAAATTGCATGTTCATTTTGACACTACCCATTTAAATTACATGACATCAATTATGTTGCTATGCAAATTTTAAGGATTTCTTTATAAATTAGCTTATATCTCTGCAACACAGAATAATAATAAGCTGATAATTTATATAAAATCACTTTATTGTCTTTATAGGAAAAAAAAAGAGTCTATTAGTACTATTAGACACCAGCTTCTTTAGTCTTATGATTCTTTAAGTCTACTAACAGTCATCAGTTTATGGATTTTGCCATTACATTTTTTATCTTCTTCATTTAATATCATCTAATAGTTATTGGCTGATTAAAATAGATTAAAAATGATAACAATTTAAGTAACTAAATAAATAGCAAATTTAAAATTAACAGTTTTAGTAAATCCATGGGAAAGCTTTGTTTGCCTTATATTGATTGAAGGAGTTCAAAGTAGTTTATTCTTTTTTGGGGGAATGGAGGATTTTGGGGGAATGATTGCATGCTCCAATCTTATTTCAGCTATACAGTCAATAGCCATTGGGCCATCTTCAATTCAACATTGTATTGTCAGACTGTTAAAAAGAAAGTCTATTTATTTAGTGTATTTTTTTTTATAAGTATTTTTTATGGTAGACTATATTTTATAAGTATAGTAGAGTTTATTTTAAATGCTAATTTAAAAATGTTATAAAAAATATAGAAAAAATATATTGATGAAGAGCAACACTATTACTTTTAACGTAAAAATATTTTTGTGGTGAAAAATTATTAGATAATAAAACGTGTTGAATTCAGATGGGAAAATTACTTTTAACTAAACTTAAACAATATGTGACCCATCTGACCGAAATCATCATAATGTCAAAAATGACATAATTTTAATTTTGTACATCAATTCCAAAATGGCACTTAGAGCTTCAAAATGATACCAAAACGAGTACTCTGTCTTGATTCTACCATTTCAAAAAAAATGAGGCTTAAGTTATACAAAATATAATATATAAAAATGTAAAAAATAAAAAAGTTATATAAAAATGTAAAAGCATATAAAAAGGTTATATAAAAAAAAGTTAAATAAAAAGTAAATCTCTATAGTAACTCTCTATAATAACCGGAGGAACCAAGTGCCTTGAAGAACCAAATAGTTTTACTTATTAAAACAAAATTTTTTTAAAGTTAACTGATTTATTAAATTGAGTGAATAAATTTATCAAACATATGATTCAGATTCTTCACCTTAAAAAAATGGTATAGCTAACTGATTTTGAAAAGCAACTACCTCCAGCTTGACAATTATTAGAAGCAAAAGCTGAGCTACAGATACTCTTGCTTAACCTCTGCTTGGTTTTTGTTGTTTTGTGTGTTAGCTCAACAGTCTAATAGTCATATTCATCTCTGTCATGTGATCAGTGTCACGCAGCAACCATTTAAGAAGGAGAAGAGCAAACCACATCTTGCAGAGATTCCTTAATGTATTCACGGATTTTGTTAAACAAATATCTTTGTCACTGTTGTGTAAGTCATGTGAATTAATTTCTTATTTGATTGTTGTGGAAGATCTACTACGCTGCATTTCAAAAGAGTAATTTCTATTTCTTTGCTCTCGAATATTTTGCCCGGGTGTCGAACATCAAAATTAAAAACTTTTTTATACTTGAGAATAGTCGAAAAAATGGACTGAGATGTTTTTTACATTCACCAACTTTGACAGGAACCATTTCCACTTTGTATCTGACTCACAAAAACGCTTTCATTCACCAGTCTCAAACTCGTTCTGTGACAACACAGCATGGTGCCTGATTGCAATCTTGAACATACCAAAACATATTATTGCAGTGAAGTTGTGCATTAGTCTCTCCTTGTCTCTACTTTAAAAAAAAATCTCTACTTTAAAAAAAAATCTCTACTTTAAAAAAAAAAAGATGTAAATAAGACACAACACCATTTGATCCTTTTGATATAAGATAGGTTTCAATGTAGTTTATCTGCTTTTGGATTTTGCTTTTGGGACAAAGTAAAAACTGTAGTGCAATGATATTGGGCAACTATAGGAATCACTTGCATAAAACTTGTTCAGCTGATTGTTTCTTTCAGCTGCTCTTAGCAATAATTAACAATCATGAGATGGTATTCTTATTTCTGCAAATTTCTTCTTCCAGGGTGTTCGCACCCTGGTAAATCAAAATGTTGTTTTATTGGCGTGTCCATTATAAATCCATCATTGGTCAAGCCATTAAGATAAATGGTGTAAATTTAACCCCTAAACAGTTTTTAAATTAAACACTTTAATTTAAAAACTTTTGTCTTAGTAGATAGCATTAACTTTTCATAGTTACATTTAGGACTAAGCACTCATCCAGGAAGCACTAATGCATGATGTTTTGTATAACTTGTGATGAATGTAATAGTGCACTGAAATTTTTTTTTGGACTGCATGTCATTGCAAAAAGATTTATGGTATAAAATATTTTTCCAAGGAAAATGAGAATTTGATCCCTTGGCCCCATGACTACAATGTCTTGTCTCTGCCTTATTTTATCCTCAATTGATAAAACCTGATGACATGGCTATCCATTATAGTACTGAGCACCTGAAAAGAAGTTATTTAAAAAATTTTAAAAGACTTTTATGATAAAATATCTGATTTTCTGGCATTTTACGCATTTGATGTCTTCATCAAGAACAACCTTTGGCTTTATCACAGCATAGTCCAGCATGTGGTCATAATCATTTATTAGCATGTTCTTCTTCATCAGATCCTGACTCTGACTGGAATAGGTGATCAACAACTTCTTTCTCATTTGGGATATTGAAAACTTTTTTTACTTGTTTTTAAAAAAAAGGTGTAAAAAACCATTAAGAAAAAGATATATAAAAGTCAAATTTTATCAAATACTTTACTTCCTCATATTTATTATGCATTTTTTTATATCTATTTTGGACAAAACTCAAATTTTTTAAACATATCCTTTAATATATTAATATATTTTCTGCTTTTTAGAAGTTATAAATAAAGAATATACTTGTTAAATGGTTTTATTATTCTGTTAAAAAAAATAGCCCTGTTTTTTGGCGGGAGGTGTATCCTATTTATTAATTTTTTTAATTAAAAAAAATATATATATAATGAAAATATGACTACCATTTACCTTTTACCAAGTCTTGCTTCTGACAAGACATGGTGAAAAATAATTACATTTTATCAGTTTTTTTCATTTTACACTGTTTGATAAGTTCTGACATGATAACAATTTTGGTTAGAAGATTCATATAAAATGAAATTTTTTGTGTTGAAGGTTAACTAACTTTTTTATTAGAAGTCAAATGCTTTATAATAACACAACTATTTTATACACTTGATGATTCTTTTTGCTTCCTGATGACATTATTTGCTGATATCAATTTATTGATTATGCAGATTCACATATTATATATTATATTGATGATATAGATTTGCTGATATAAATTCAGGCCTTGTTTGAAATAAAAAAAGTGTTTAATGTATTAGCTTAACGCGGTATTTGACGTCATAAAATTATCTTTATTTTTTTTAATAGACGTTAAGTATTTCAACTACCGCAATAAATAAATAACCGCTAACTAGTTCAATTTAACAATTAACTCAAATAACTATAAACATTTTAAATGTAAATTTATTATGAAAAGTTTGTTATGTTATCAATTGTTATTTTAATATTAATTTTAGTTTATTATTATTTAGTAAAAATATATATATATATACATATATTTTAATTATTTCTGAAATATATTTTTGAATAATTATTGTTTATAAATCCTTATTGAATAAAAAATAATGATGATTTTTACTTTTAAAATTTCTGGAGTAAAAAAAAAAATATTAACATTGATAAACAAAAACCCTTGTTAATTATTTAAACAATAATGATGATTTTTTTTTTTTTTAAATTTCTGGAGTAATCAAAAAATAAACATTGATACTCAAAAAAATACTCAACTAAAATAATATAAGTATATTTAATAATTTGAATTGTATTTGTTTATAATAAACGTTTGTAAAAATTTGTTCATTAAAAATTAAGTTCCTTAACTTATAAACAAACTCAAAAGTATTTTCATTCTATGTATAATTCCAAAACTCTTTTTTTTTTTCCCGTTTGTAAGCAATTTAACTTGGAATAATAAAATAAAAAAAGAATAAATATGAGGTAATCTTTGTTAAGAACAAAATTAATTTATTTAATGAACTATATTTTTATTTTTATTTATACACCAACTTAAATAAAATATAGTAACATGTTAAAATATTTTAACATGACTTGTGTCATTTATAAACCGTAGGGCAGCTGCCCTTACGGTGCCATTAGTTTTGAATAATATTTTATTTTGATGAAGATCACATAACTTATATTTGATTTTAATAACATAAATCTCTTTTTCAGTGATAGTTTTAATTAGAAAAGGCAAAGATAAAATTCTGTGCAAAAGTAACTTTAGAATTTATTTTGATTCAATACATTAACAAAGTAGAGAGCCTAAATAATAGATAAAACGCTTTTAAACTAGAAAAGTTTACTTATTTATATGCAAACTCATTTTGTTAAAGAAAAACATGACAAACTCACCCCACATTACCCTATATTTAGTTTGATTTACTGAATGGATAAAGTACATCGCAGTAAATTTATCTATAAACTAAATCAAAACAACCAGTTAAGTTACTACAGTAACTTACAGCTACTCAACTATTAAATTTACTTAATATATGCAAAGACTCACAAAAGTTAGCCATACAAATGTTTCTATTTATATCTTATATGTTGTTAACACATAATATAAGCTTTTAACTAAAAATTATTTTAACAAGAAATCTTGCATAGAATATAAAAAAAAAAATTAAATCCAGTTGCTTGTTAAATGTTCAAGGGTCTTGAAGGGCCCTTGAACATTTAATGAGTTCCTAATATTATTATTAAAAAAAAGTTCTTTAAAATTGTATTATGTTGGTTCTCAATGTTGGGTCAAATTAGATGAAATTATTTATTTATAATTAGATGAAATTATTTATTTTTAATTTGATGAAAATTTTAAAAATGATAATTATATAATAAAAAAAATATTTTAAATCTAGTGTTTTTTAAAAAAAAGATAATGGCATAATATTTCGTCGATGTAAGCTTTTAATTATTTTTATAGATTTTTCTATGAGTAATTTTATATTTTCTTATTATTTATTTACAAATATAAATTTATTATTATTATATCAGATGAAATGGGATTGTCAAAAAAAACAAATGTAAAAAAACAAAAAATCTAAATGAACAATAAATGTAAAATTGCATTTTTAGAAATCATTCTTCAATTGACTAATTTTGTTTCGCTGAAATTTTGTATTTTGGTAAGTTTTGGTATTGAAATAGTATACCCGAAATTCCAGTTTAAAATGGTTTTGACGTATTTCCTGCTGATCACTAGTACATACATACAGTTGCAGTGGTTGTGTGACCAGAGGTGCAAATGAATACAATAATTTAAAACATTATTAATATGGAACAAAGAGATATTGACAAATGTTTAAAATTTAAAATGTGAACTAGTATACACAACTATATATTGATAATGAAAAAATTTACAAGTAAAATCTTACATTTAACATCTGACCAGCTTTCTTTTTTAACTGAAGGGTAACTTGATTTCGATTTGAAATGAAATATTTAACAGCTTCATCATGGGTAACATTGGCGACACAATAACCATTGACCTTGATATAAAATAAAATAAAAAAATGTTTTTAAATAACATTTCTTTTTAGGATATAGGCATAAAAATGGGTTTTTATTATATTATGTTAGTGGATAACATTATTCAACTGCTGAAAATAGTTCTATTTCATTAAACAATCACTTTTAATTTTAATTGCTGTATTTTCTGTTTATTAACAATCTCGAATCATTTCTTGGTTGACATTTTAATGTTGGCATCATGTTTTATTGTTGACATATTCAATTCAGTGAAAATATAAAACTTCTTTTTTTTTTTTACAGAACTTACAATACTTTTTAGAATACTCTTTTAATGTTAAATTTTAAATCTTTTAATTTTTTTTTAAATCTATTTATAACTACCTATTTTGAAATAGACTTGTTTTTCTTGGAAATTAATGAATTTTAAATTTGAAAACATTAGAGACCATTAGGAACTTTTCTTGCTTAAAATATATTTAAAATGTTTAAAATACTTGTGAAATTACAAACAATTACCACATAAAAATGTATAACCTAATTACTTAGATGTTTGTTAATAAAAACATTATTAAAGTGTTTATATAAACATAATTAACAAACTTTTTTTATTGATTTTTTTAGGCCTAAACAAAAAGAACACTGCCGAATAAATGCTTAAAGATACTTCGACCAAGAGAAACACTTTCAAAGGGAAACTCTGATATGTTTTTTTCAGAGTTTCCTTTTAAAAATTTGCCTTGTTCTATACACCACCATTTACTTACAGCTAAGACTGCAATTTTCTGATTAAGATAAATCAGAATTTTACCAACAAACAAAAAGCAAAAAATATTATAAAAAATTCAACTCCAATTCATATTTCAATATGCTAGTATAAAATCTACAAGTTCCCAAAATAACAAGTATAGGTCAGTTAAGTTTTGATGATATCACTGCAAAAATAAAAACATAGTAGACAACCTCAAATGTAAAGAAACTTGGTAGTAAAAACTGCAAAGATGCTTAAAAAATTATAAAAATGAAGTATATAGAGTATATAGACAGCTATTAGGTTAATCACAATGTGTAATAAATTTGTAATTGTATTGATTTTTATGTTTTTAATTTGAACTGAAAACAAGAAAGAAATCTAACCTTGCTTGAAAATATAACTTTTTAATTTATTGTAAAAATTGAAATAGTAATCAAAAAATCTTTTAAAACCAGTTTTTCCGAATTTGGCAGCTAAAACTGGCCACACTGAATTCATAATTATTATTTTGAAATAGGGTGGTTTTTAGTTCATTTACAAAATAAGATAAATAATACAAAGAAATACCAAAAAAAATTTGTATTGATTTTAAAAACACAACTTCTATTTTCTTGGTAAAAAACTTTATAAAGCAAAAACAAAAGTTAATATAAAAATAAGTTTTAAGTCAAATAAAAAAATTTAAACAAATTAAAATTAGTTACAAAACATACTTTAAGTATTTGATCACCAACTTCTATTTTGCCAGACTTTTCAGCAAGACCTTGAGTTTTTAAATTACTAACAAATATTCCTGTGCTTCCCCTGTAAGGTCTATTTGTTCCGCCTGAGATATCTAAGCCAAATCCTTGAAGCTCTAAAAAATGGATTTAAATTGTACAATTTCAAAGCAATTATAAAGCAATTTTACAGTTAATTATAAGTATTTGAACAACTCTGTTTTCTATCAAGATTTCTTTAATCTAAAGAAAAAAGAAAAATCCAAAAAAACAATTTATGTATATTTGTTTAAAAATATTTCTATTAATATTCAATTAACTTTTCTTCTGAACTTAAAAAAACTAGTAAATCCGTCTGCAAAATCAAAATATTGATATCAGTGATTTGATTAGTGAAATTTGACTAGTGTTTTGAGAAATGCTGCAAATCAAAATTGAACTACTGATAACTAAAATTTTGTTTTAGGAAGTCAAATGACTAAATGAATATATTTCATAATAAGCACATATAAGTATATAACATAAGTATATAAACATTGGGAATGCAATTCTAATATCTAAACAATTAGATGTGGTAAACTATATTAAGTAAACACTTTCCCAAGGACAAAGAAAACTATGGTCAAGGAGGCTAATTGTAATTCTTAATATATAATTGTTGTTACAGTTCCCTTTCAATCCGACAACTCTGAAACAAAAATCTTTACAAACGAGGCTGAGAAGCAACTTGACATATGACTGTATATTAGAAAGCAATGCAAAACTTTAATATAAAATGTTGATATATCTTAATTACTAAAAGCTTTCCAATACAAATTATCTCTACCTAACAATTATCTAATCTCTCTCTCTCTCTCTCTCTCTCTCTCTCTCTCTCTCTCTCTCTCTCTCTCTCTCTCTCTCTCTCTCTCTCTCTGAAAAAAGCTATAAAATACTTATTATCTATATCTAACTCCCCTCTCTCTCTCTGAAAAAAGCTTTACAATACATATTATCTCTACCTAACTCTCTCTCTCTCTCTCTCTCTGAAAAATCTTAGATATTGTTTAAAAAAAGCAACACACTAGATTACTTTACATACATTCTTTTTATCTAAACCAAAAACAAAGTTAAAAGTTTGTTCAGGTCTGGCCTAAGAGACTAATAGGAACCTCTTTCTTTTAATATCTATCTGAGACACCAAAATATTACAGAAACTTTATAAATAATTATAGTAATATATAACCTGGATATTTGTTTAAAAGAGTCACTTCAACGATTTCATCTTCGTCGTCACTTTCAATTGTAAAATGAACTCTGTCACTCTAGTAGTTTACAAAAAAATTAAGCTAAAACCATAAAAGAAATAAACAACAGCAACATACATAAATAAATCAACTAAGTAAATAATGCTTCTAATAACTTTTTTTTTAAAACAAAATCAAATAAAATACATTTTGTAAAAAAAAACTTATGACAAAATCATTTCAATCAATTATTAAAAAATTTATTTCAGAAAATTTAGTTGCTTTATTTGCTTTATTTAAAAAATAAAATCAATTTATTTTAGAAAAATAGTTGCTTATTTAAAAAATAAAAACAATTTATTTTAGAAAAATAGTTGCTTTATTTAAAAAATAAAAATATTACTTCTTAGTAAACATTTGTTTACCAATACCAATCAAGCAGCATGAAAATGGCACTTGTGATTAAAACAATGATTGAAAAAAGTTTAAGGTATGATTTATAATAACAATAAAAATCTTTGTTTAGAAAACTCTTTTTAAAATGAGTAAAGAGTAAATGAACTAATATAAAGTAAATGATAATGTTAACAACGTAAAATAAGAATAATTTTAATGTTCAGATTATATAACCAAAATGTAATGACAAAGCTAACAATATATGAATCGGAAATTGAAAAAGGGGACATGTCCTGCAAAAATTCACATAACATGTCCCCTTTTTCAAGTTAGCGATTCATATAACAATATCAATATTAATAAAAATAAAATTACTATTATAATTATAATAATAACAATAATAATAATAACAATAATAATAATAATAGCAATAATAATAATAATTGTTACAATAATATGTAATAACAGTAAAAATTGTAAAATTGTATTACTAAAAGTAATCATTTATGAAATTCCTCTAGACTGAAAAATTCACTCCTAAATTAAAATCTTTATTTAACTCATAAACTTACCAACATGAAGGTCTATTTTAAAATATGGACCTTCATGTTGTGCCAAAGTACCTAGCAACCAGATACACAACAGATGTAATACTCAAGGTGTCTCTCACCCACCTTAAAAAAAACTTAACAGTGGTATGTGATATAAATCTAATTTCATTTGCTCCTGTGCACTTACCTTAGTCATTGTTCAAAATTGAAAATATTTTAAATTCAACATGATTAATTCATAAATTTGAATATATTATAAGCAACAAATTGAATGTTTTTTTGGTTTCTAAACCAAAATCTACAATTGCAAAGGAAAAACAAGTGATGTCAAAAGGGACACTAATTTCAGGATTTAATGCAGCATGTATATTTTACATTCTTAAAAAATACTTTTATGCTAATTTATCATGAATCGTACTTTTTACTAACTTAAAATAAATATATAAAACTTGACTGCCAACCTAAAAGTGTTTGAGGTCAGCAAAAAATTGCTGACCTCGTTTCAATGTTTAATGGTAACCTCTTTGTGTCAAATTTTTTTGCTGACCTAATGCCAACCCCTAACAGTTTGAGGGCAGCATTATTGCCGACCTTGTTTTTCCAAATTCCAAGGGTTGTTTTATATATATATATATATATATATATATATATATATATATTTATATATATATATATATATATATACATATACATATATATACACACACACACATATCTATACATATATCAGGCCTTGTTTTAAAGCGTTGAGCTGCCGGCAATTTATGCACGAATTACGTTCATCTAGAGCGATTTTCATAAAGCAACTTTTGATATTTTATTAACTTTTAAATTGCTCTATTAAGTGGTAAGATAAAAGAAGTAATTAATTTCATAAAAAACCACTTTGAAGATTATGTTAGATGTAAGTGCTATTTACTAATAAAAAAACTCAAATAAAATTAAAACTACAAAAACTTAATCTCTATTAAGCTAATTATTTTATCGAACAGAAAATAAAATTATTTATAGTTAAAGATAATTTTTATTTTTTTAATTCAAAGTTATTAACTAGAACATAAAAGAAAAAATATATATATATAATAAAAACTTTTATTTATCATCTTGAGAGGAAAAGAATATTTATGCAACTTTTGATTGCATTAAAAAAATTTATTTAAATTTCTATATAGTAATAAATAATTTATACTTAATTTTTTTTTTATTGTATAGATCAATTTTTTCGCTTGAAAACCCTAATACGCTAGTTTATAGTGAAACATGAACGCTAATTTAAGCTTGAAGCAAAGATCATTGTAATTTAATTCTGATAAAAAAAAAATATGATTTAATTCAAAAATAATTTAATAAAAATATAATTTTATTCTGATAAAAAAATATACAAGGGTTGAATTAAGCAATCGCGAAATGAAAAATCCTGAAAAATATCTGGTCTTTAAAATTTTAGTTAAAACAAAACCGTGTTCTTTGTTTTAAATGGGCGAATCAACTTAAATTTGTTAGCAAAAGTAGGAAAGCATCTAGAAAAATAGAATGGGGATATTCAAATAATATTTAAAACTTATTAAGGAACTTAAACAACTTTATAAAAATGTACTGTATAAAAAGTTTAGCATTATGAAAAACGTTACTAATGGTCCAGAAAAATGCGCGTCAATTTTAAAATCACCTACTAAAAATGTTGTATTGGTTGATTTCAAAATTAATGCACATTTTTCCGGGCCGTTAGTAATACTTAAAAATGCTAAACTGTTTATAAAAGTATGTATACAAAAAGTTTTTGAAGTTTTAAAATTACTTAAATATGCATTCTATTTTTTTTAGATGCATTTCTACCTCAATTAAATCTTGGTTTTACTTATTTAAATCACTTTTATTTATGATACCTTGATTAAGTGTTGCATAAGCAAACAATAAATTATAAATGTAAGATAAAAGTTAAAAAAGTAATAACACTATTATAGTGTTTATATTTTTATAACACAGTTAGTGATTATAGTGTTATTACTTTGGTAGTTGTAAAATTATTGTTTTCTTTTTGTTTTATATAACTTTTTCGCTAAGTTAATTCGTCCATAAATACAAAGTTTACAGTCTTGCATGTACTTTGACTTTACAGACCAGATTTTTTTACAGATATTGGGTTTTGCAATCGCTTAATTCAACCCTTGATATATAATTTAATTTTGATTTAAAATATATATATATATATATATATATATATATATATATATATATATATATATATATATAAATCGAAATTTTATATATAAATTAAAGTTAAAATTGAAGTTAATGCTTGGGTTTAACTTAACTGTCAAATTTATTTTTAAATGTTACTAAATATTGTTCAAAATTTAAATTTTATTTATTCTTAAAAAAAAATTAGCTCATTTTTATCGCATTTGTTATTTCAGTTTTCTTTCCTGAACATTTTTTTTTTTTTTTACTTAAAATTAAATATTAAATAAATGTGTTCCAAGGCTGAATTAAGAATTAGCACAAAACATAAGTTAAACTTATTTTTATAATGCAAGAAGAGCGCAGCAATTATTTTTTGATAAATGATATATACAGCAATATAATTTTAACAAATGGTGTTCAGAAAATAATTTTGCTTTCAAAACAAAATCGCTAATAAAATAATAAACTTTTATTAAATAAAGTAGATAAAATAACATAATTTTTTTTTTTGTTACTCGCTAATTTTTTTCAAATAAAAAATCTTTTTTAGCTGCAAATTTTTTAAAATGATTATTTAAGAAACAATTGTTTTAAAAAAATTAAACATATTTTATTTCATTTATACAAATGTCAAGAAAAACAACTTTTTATATGAAATTTTTTTTTAAATGTAGTATTAAATTTAATTATTTAATATTAAAAAATTAAAGAAATGAACATTTTGTTATAGCATTAATAAAAAACGAGTTAAACAATATTTAACTCATTTTGTGGTAATTAACATTATTGCAGTAATTTAAAAAAGTTATCAATATATATATATATATATATATATATATATATATATATATATATATATATATATATATATATATATATATATATATATATAATGATGATAATAATATATCTAATGTATATATGATGATATTAAGCAGAGTCAAAAGTAAACTTTGATTTAAAAAATACCCATACGAAGTAGGGCATCCAATACTGGTATACCGAAAACCGGTATACCAGCTGTTTTTCCAATACCAATACAAAGCTTGTAATACTGGTATGTACCAATATTTCAGTTATTTTTATTATCGAACAGATATTGTTTGATAAGACCATAGTTACAAGAAATATATTCTTGTGGCTATGATGAGACTTTGTGCGTGTTTAGACAGTGATTTTTAGAGATTTATAAGCGCGAAAATATCACCAAAGAAAACTTAGATTATAAAAATGGATAAAAAAAGTTTTCTTAGATGTATAAAGTCTTTTTTAATATTTAGTTAGCAAAGTATTAAATAAGTTACATTTATATTTTGAAATATTAAACTCTTTTAATATTTAGTTAATATCTAAGCAAGAAAAAATCAACAAACATTTTCGACATGCCAAAATCATCCTAATCCATTTGCCAAAGAATTAAGAAATATGCTACTAAAATTCAAAACTCTATAATAAAAGAATTATCTGAACTTCACCGGCAATCCAATTTAGTCTTAGGTTTGACGAGTGGACTGTAAAAAATAGTTGTCATTTGAACATTAATGTTCATTCTAGAAACAGATTTTAGAATTTGGGTGATAGTATTTGTAGAAAAGAAAACTTTACGACGATGGAAAAGCTTAGCAGATAGACCGGGTCCAACTACGTTTACAATGCGCTTTTGAACCTTGTCGGGAAGAGAAAGAGCATCATTTGAAGAACCAGCCCAAATATGACAACAGTATTCCATACAGGGACGAATAAGAGATTAGTAGAGGTAGAGAATGGAATATAGGGGAGAGAAGGTGTAAAGAATGGAGAATAGGGGAGAGAAAATGGCAAGCACAATAAAGAGGAGACGGATTAGATTTAGACGGATTAAGGATTTTTCAGAGCTCACTAAATTCAAATAACTTGCAAACAATTTCGCCCCATTGATAAGCAAAAGTTGTAAAGCTGTTTAAATGATCACCAACAAAAAATGAAATTTTTCAAGTTTATCTAAAAACTAAACATGGTAAAGAACTGTATTAATGTTAAATAATAAGACCAGATGGAACAGCGTAATTTTTATGCTAGAGCGTTTTTATAAATTAAAAAAATTCTATTCAAAAAGACCTGAATGACTTAAATTCAGCTATTAACATTACGGAATCTGAATTAGAATTGATATTAGCAACAGTATCTATGTTGATACCAGAGAAATTGGGTGTAGAAGCTCTATGTCAGAAAGATCTATTCTTCTATCAGCTGATACTACCTTGGCATTTATGCTGCAAAATTTGGACGTAGTACCATTAAGCAACAATATGAAGACATTCTTAATTAAAAGAAAAGAAAGATACACAATTTTATTTTATTTAATATCTTCATAAATGAGATCAAGTGCAAAATAATTTTGGTTCAGATATCATATTTGATTGGCTAACTAAAACTGCTTTGAAAAATTTAATTGTGCATCTTACCTAGCAGCTCTCATCGGTCATAGCTGAAACTACGGCATTGCCATCCAAAACAGATGATGACGAAGATACCATAATGTCGAAGATGAACCTTTTACTTTGGCATTATAAGAGTAGCTGGACATGGCCAAAAATAATAAGACAAAAATGAAAACAGTACCAAAAACAAATTGAAATAATAACAATTTAACAAAATGTGTTAGGTTTTCCTCATATATACACATGTTAGGTCTTTCTCAAATATAGATGTGTACCATCTTCCTCAAAATTTTTTTATGTTTTTCGTTTTTTGAATTAATTAATTTTATATATTATTTTAACTTAAACATTAAAGTTTTTGAACCGTTTATTTGTAAATCTGGTGTTAATACCAATATATCGGTTTTCACTAAATTTCATACCGAAAAACCAGTATTTAATTTTTGGTCTGGTATTGAAAGCCCTAATACAAAGTGTCAGAAGTGGAAAATGTGGAAAACCATTCATCGCAATTGCGAGAGATGAACAGGCAATTTGAAACATTTGTGTTGAAAACTGAAGAAAAAGTACAAAAGCAATTACTAAAATCATACAAGAAGCTAGTATCATGATTTATAACAGAACTACGAGGAGTTGAATAGGAGATCTGGAGATTAAATGCTGCAAACCCACAAAGAAACCTAAACTTCGTCCAGCAATCAAATCAAAACCTCTTATTTGGGTTACATAAACAACACCTACATGTCTGCTGAAGATTGGCAAAATGTAAGTAAATACTTATTTAACTTTTTATTGCAACAGCATTACTGATTAATAGGAGTTTTCATATTATTTTTAATTTTTTCAGGTGTGTTTCTCAGATTTTCATAATTTGAAACATTAATGGATGAGTCTTTTTTTCTTAGAATCTGGAAAGAAAAAATATATAACTTAGAATGTGTTATGAAGACAGTAAAACACTCTCTAAAGTTGATGGTGTGGTCAGTTATAAGTGGTAAGGGCAGTGGCCTTCTTTGTATAGTTGAAGGGATGATAAACCAGGATAATTAAAAGAAAGTGTTAGCTCCAAACTAATCAAACTTGTTCTCTTTTGAGCTATTTTGACCTTATTCTGCTTTTTATATTGTAGATACAATTCCTTTTTTTACAACTTCTGTTTTATTCTGTTATATTTTGATATTATTCTGGAAAGTCCCTTTTTGAGCTGAATCAGTTGGGCTGTTTTTCGATACTTTTAATTCTACAAAAATATTGCATAAACGCTTGCAAAAATTGTATAAAATGAGATACAACTAGAGTCCAGATAAACTTTGGAGTCTTGCATATGAGTTTGTGGTGAAATTGAAAAAATGGCTGCCTCATTTAAGACAGGGTTGTCTAAATCTGTGATTAGAAAAAAAAAAGCTGGTAAAGACTGGTTGACTGCATTATGAAACGAGTTTATCAATTCAGAATGTAGGACATTGATCGGTAGAACGTTGGCTTTTAATTCACACAAGAGACATATTTAAATCACATGAGAGACATTTTACAACAATATTAATGTTTTATTGCAAAAGTTTTTTTACCTCATCAGATCTGGAATGTTGACAAAATGGAGATTGCAACAGTTTAAGTGCCCAAACATTATCTTTATTGCTAAACATGGAACACTGGTGACTATATGCAATGTAGTAAATGTCTGTATTTTTATATATTTTTATCGGTACATTTGAAGAATTCTTTTCTGAAGAATGGACCTTTATTCTGAGCCAATATAACCTAGGGAGCTGTATAGATGATAGATAAAACATTCAAGGTGTGGTTCACCCACTTTTTGTCAATTTGTCTATAGCACAATTGTCAAAGGAGAAAGTGATTCTTTTAGTTGATAAGAAATTTTTAAAAAGTGCATTTGACAATCAACTTTATTGATGCAGCAAAAGAAAAAAAAGATTTAAATTTAATTTAATTGTACATACCCCCATGGGTACAAGAAATGATTAGGTTTGTCTACCTTTTTTAGACATCACATCTTGGGCCCATTGGGACATCACTAAAACTCCAACCTCTAGATGTTGGTGCTTGTGGACCTTTTAAACCCTCACAAATGTAAATCAGATTCTTAGCTTGCAAACAACCCAGTAAAAACAATTCCTATTTTTAAACCGGTAAAAGACATGTCATCAAATAACTTGATGAAAAAATGAGTATTTATTTTTCCACAATAGTTATTTCAAATGGTAGATATATATTTTCATTAGGTAGATAAAACTGTTATAAGAAACTTAAAGTTAATAATACTAATTATGCTAATTATATATTTATTTTTTTATGCAACTTAATTACTTAATTTTATTTCAAATGTCATCATAATAAAAAAATAGGAAAAATAAATCAAAAAGCCAAGTATAATGAATAAAATACTTTTTGAAGTTTACCTGAATCTAAATTTTAGTAAATAAAAAGTAATTACCATATCTCTTGTCTCATAAATTTCTGAAATTCGTCAGCTAAAAAATAATTTTGAATTAAAATTAAACTTCAAAAAAAAATTATTTTATGAGTTTTGTGAGTGGTTATTTTTTTTTCAAATAATTTGTCCTAGTCATTACATTTAATTAATCTTATATTAGGGCATATAAATTTTATTTGCCTTGGTGAAAGCCACTTACTTAGAAAAAGGAAAACCCTGGTATAAAACCTTCTATTAATTCTACAGACGAGGAGGAGCCCATAAACTTGAATGGTAATTTTATTTTCTATTTTATATAATTCTATTTTGTTTTTAGCTTTCGATGTTTATATCTGATAGTTTAAATTCTTTAAAAAACTTCTAGAATTGCATACAATATACCACAACACATAGTCCAAATTTTGAGATTTTCAAGAAATTAAAAAATCAAAGCACAAAAAAACTTAAAATGTTGTTAGAGTTCAAATAATAGGTTCCTGATTTGCAAAACATACTTGAAACCAATTGTAAAATGCAAAAACAATTTATGAAGAGCAAAAAAAAGTTTATGATATTACTTAATTTATAAACAATTTTTAGGATTTTATGTAAAAAAAAAAAAAAAAAAAAATTATAAAAGGCAACAAAAATAGTTAGAGCAAAATAATAATAGAAACAATAATAGTAATTTGCAAAACACAATAATTGCTTGATAAGAATAATATTCAAAACTTTTTAAGAACACATGCCTTACCAATGCCTTCATTGGATTTGACATAAGATAAGAAGAATTTAGCTTTTAAACTTTAATAAATTTGCTTTAAGTTCCAAAACACAATTAATGTGTCACACCATTCAAAACAACAGTCAATATAACACACTTTCATTACAAAATAACAGTAAAACAGACTTACAGCTTCAATTAATTATCATTGTAACAGACTTCTATTACTGAAAATTATTTTTCTGTGACGCAAAGCAAAGTAATGATTACTGTAACGTAAATTGAAAAAATAGTAGTTATTCTTATTAAATTAATAGTATGTTTGTTATAACAACCTCGTTATATAAAAAGATTTGACAATTTCAAAATTTAAAATGGTAGTGGTAATTGTTAGTATAATACCTATTAAATTTAAATCTACTGAAAATATTATTAATTGTAAATTATCTTATTTTATTAATTATTGTATATCAAAACTTTTATTTCTGTTCTGATTATTTCAACTGTAAAACTTTTATACTTAAAAAACAAACCTTTTACATGAAATTTAACAATAAAATTATTTTTATGATATTGAAGGCTTCTCTAAATAGTCATGAAAAACTTTCATGATCACATCAAAAAGCTGTTGCACTGTGTTTGGATAAAAATATTGTTACAAAAATATTTTGGATATGCGGGGATTCATAAGGGTAGGTCTGAATATAAGGGGTTCACATTATCAATGTGAACCCTTATATTTAGACTTATATTTAAATAATTTTATTTAGACCTACACTTATCCCAATAAGAAGTAAAACACAATAACCAATGTCATTGATAACCATGCTTTAGTTCTTATTAAGAAGTAAAACAGTTATAAATTTCATTCATAACTTGAATTGTTTTTGGGGGACCAAAAAACAGTACAAGAGCTAATAATTGTAGTAGCTTTACTAAGTAAAGCTACAATAATTATCAGCTCTTGCATTGTATTTTGATTAGTTGCATTGTTTTTTACTTAGTAAAGCTACTATAATTATCACCTCTTGCATTGTTTTTTGGTCCCCCAAAAACAATGCAAGTTATCAATGATATTGATAACTGTTTTACTTCCCCAATAAGAACTTCCCCAATAAGAACACGGTTATCAATGGTTATATCACGGTTATCAATCACCAGTAAATTACTGGTAAATTGAATTTAATAACTTGATGCTATAATTATTTGAACTTAGAGTAATACTTAAATAGTACAAAGTGGCAACAACACTACCCTTAGGCTAATTTTAAATTGACCTAAGGTGGCCTTTGAGGAGGAACTTATTTAAAATCTTAATTAAAACAAACTCAAATCAAATAATAGAACAAAGTTTGACCCAAATTAAATAGACTTAAACATAGATCCACCAAACTTGAAAACAAATAAAATTATAAATTTAAACAATAATATGGCAAATTGCTAATAACAACTCATTAGGAAAGGCTATTATTGTAGCTATAAATTGCTGAAAATTTGTTAGCGTTACATTTACTCCTATTACTTCATGTGCGTAATTAGCATTCAAATAATTTAAATGAAAACAAGTTAAAAGCATGGGGAGGTTGCTTTCTTTTTCTAAAAATTGGCTTTAAAATGACCTTAATGAACAAAACTGCTGATTAAAATATATAAAAAAATATAATAAAAAATATATAGGTATATATTTTTTTATGTATAAAACCATTTGTAATTGCAATTCTTTATTTTTAAATATTGGAATAATTTATGTTGTGTGTGCCCGAGGCGGGTTTTGTCACACGCCAAGGAGGGGGCTAAAAAGGTCATAAAAAAAAAAGGTCTGCAAATTTTTATTTTTAAATAACTTTTTTTAATTTTTTGTACTTTAGTGTAATAATCAAGTTTATATACGTATAATTACGTATAATAGTCAATTTCATTTGTCAGTATAATAGTCCAATTCTGTGTAATAGTCAATTTACATAAGAATATTTTTAAAAAAAAGTCCCAAGAGGGTGGGGGCTACTACAACATGCTCTCCACCTCTAAAATCTGCCACTGGTGTGTGCAAGGCCATCGAAATGGAAGGGGGCGAATACGTTCCCGGTTGCAAAGATATTTGGGGCGCCAGAGAAAATAAAAATGTATTTATCTGAAGATACGAATTTTTTGTAATGTGTATCATAACTTGCGACAAGCTATGATACACATTTTTTATAACATATAGTTGGTTTTTAATCTCGGATCCTGGGATTTTGAAATCCCGGGATCCCCCTAAATTTTAAAAACCCGAAATTTCGTGGTTATTTCAGAAATATCCATTGAATTGAAGATTTTAAGAATTCCAACAAAGTCTTTTTAGATTATGTCAATAAAACAAACGTATCAACAAAGCAGTAGGAAATTTAGTTGTAATTCATAAATAAAAAGTATTTATTGATTTATATGTTTAATCAATCAACCTTATACTTTTGTGAAAACCACTGGTGCGTTTATTCGGAAATAGTAAGAAAGTAACTTTAATCATTTAAACTAAATTATATTGACAAGGTAATAATAATAATAATAATTGTAACAATAATAATTATTATTGTTATTACTTTTATTATAGTAATATTAATAACAATAGTTATTATAATAGTTAATATAATGTTATTATAGTAATAATAATTATAGCAATAAAATTAATACAAACAATAATTGATTTTGAATATAAATTTACATGGTAGACATTATTTGGAATTTAGATTGTAGGAACATTGCCAGCAGAAAGATGAGTAATTTTACTTAAAAAACTCTCCACATTTGCCCAGCTAGCACACATGTTAATAAAACGTTAGAACAATGTTGCGCATTGTATTAGCCCATCGAGCGCCAATGTTATTTTTAAATCATTTTGGTTACAAATGCGAAGTCGCCAACAACCAAAAATATTTTATGTTGGTTTAACGTTGTATTTTACGACAACGTAACATACAAAGTTGTATATTACGACAATATACAATATTACCTTAAATAATTGTTACCTTAAATAAGGTAATTGGAAAGTGAGAACGTAATTTTATTGTCTTTGGAAATTCACAAAAGAGAATGGAGATTAATACTAAAATCCATAAAGAGTACTGGACTCCAAATTGATTAATGATCTATTTAGAGAAATAATCACAAATAAAAATATAATCAAAAGAGTTTATCATTTCATAACCAGAAGCGTTGCATTAAGCAGCCCTGTTTTAGTAAAATTAACCAACAATGCAAATAAAGTAGAAGATATGAAAGCTGCTATAAAGCTAAAAACATTGAATAATTTTCGAAAAATAATTAATCTGGATCAAACTTAGGTTGAAAAGAAACAAAAGAAACAACTAGTTATTGACGAAAACAAATGCCATAGAAAACTTGCTATAGAATGAATTATCAACAATCTGCGAAATCTGCATCAAGTAAATTGACCAGAAAATACTGTCATCTGTCTTGCTGGTATAATAATCAGTATTGCTAAACAACAAGTTTGATGAATTATTTATTGATATTCAAGTTAAGCAACCACATATGTAATGATATGTGAAACATACCCAGCTAGCACACATACGTTGATAAAACGTTAGAACAATGTTGTGCGTTGCGTTGGGTCAACATTGACCGCCAACGTTGTTTTTATATCATTTTGGTTACAAATGCGATGTCGCTAACAACCAAAAAACAATGTAGGTTCAACGTTGTTTTCCAAGTCGGCATTGTGTAATGTACCTTTTATCGGAATTGAATTAATTTGTTTTATATTAAGTATACATATAAACATAAAATACTATAAATTTACACGCATATATATTTAAACAATCATTTTTTCGTCATTTTGATGACGATTTAACTATTATTATGAGTTATGGTTATACTCGTTCATCGTATCTCATTAAAGACCCATTATTCATATTTGTTTTGCTTGTGGCTTGATATTTCGTTACATAAAAAAAAGAAAAATATATTGGCAAAATATATTTCCATAATCAACTGAAATGTTTAAATGAGAAACAATTCTCCTAAATTATACAAATGTTTATTTGTATATCTGCCTTTTCTCGATGCAAACGCAACGTTGATCCACTGTATAAAATCCAACGTTGTTCCAATGTATGTATATACATTCAATCAACTTTGGTTTATACGCATTTAATCAACGACGGGTTAATAACATTGGATTAACGTTGGGAATAGATCGTAAAAAACTTTTGAGATGTTTTTGCATACAATGGATCAACGTTGATTGTATATATTGAATCAACGTTGGGTTATATACAATGGATCAACGTTGGGTTTAGATCGTAAAAACAATCAACTTTTTGCGATTTTATATATATGCATAAATTCAGCGTTGGTTTATACACGTAAAATCAACGTGAAAACAATCAATTTCTTGCGATGTTTTACATACGTTGGACTAATGTAAATGTGCCAGCTTTTTTTAGTTCCGTCGGTATTAACTTTATCATTAAACAAATGACATTGGACCAATGTTAGTTTTGCATTAAAAAAAAATAGCCGATGTTCGCAATGGTTTCACATACGTTGGCCTAACGTAAGTGTGCTAGCTGGGAAGCAAAGTGAACCATCGACAACAAATATTCAGAGTTATTCCTTTTCCAGACAAAACAGAGTGATTAATAACATGGAGTATGTTTTTATAGTCATGAAAACATCAGTTTTTAATTTGACTAATAGTTGTTTACATAATGACAATATTCAGTAAATATGGTGCTTTTCATACAGTTTCAGAAATAATTTTTTGTGAGCCTATCTATAAAAACAGTGGCGTAGGAAGGTTTTTAAACGTTTGAAATAACCAACTTTTAAACAAAAAGAACATTCCAAATTTTTCTACGTTCATACGTATGACGAAAAGATTCTTCACAAAAAAAAATTACTGTGAAAGGAGAGTAGGAACAAGAAACACCAAAATCATAGCCCTTTCCCCCCTGCCCCAAACGTGAGAGCAATAAGTTGATGAAATATTTTTTGAACTATTTTCAATTAGACTTATATTCATCGATAAACTTTAAACTTTATAGTTAAATATTTTAGCGTTCAAAAAATATGACCATATAAAGTTTAAACCTCCTCAATTTTAGATGTTGCAAATTTTATATGGTCATAATTTTTGAACGCTAAAATATTTTATTATGAAATTTAAAATTTCTTGATGAATATAAGTCTAATTGAAAATAATATAAAAAACAACTTGTTGCTCTCACGTATGGGGCAGGGGGGGTTTAAGATTTTAAATTTAATGTGTTATCAGCAATTAATAAACCAACGCGAGTGTCAAAAACTGTGGCAACAGCAATAGAAAATATTCTTATTAATAATCACCTGAAATTGGATACTGAAACCGGGATTTTTATGACTGATATTACCGATCACTTTCCAATATTTACTAAAGTAAGAAATTTAAAAACCACGTCTGATTGTGAACTAAATGTTATAATTTTGAAAAATATCAAAACAAGTAATACTAATTTATTTATTTTATTTATTTTCTTCATTAAAATTTAAATTTACATGTTTAAATGAAGTTTAACTACAAAACTGAATAGGAATAATACCCAAGGTGTATTATTCCTATTTAAAGGTGTCTTCGTTATTCCCTATAAACCCAAAAATAAATAAAAAGAAACTTTTAAGAACAACATTCTGCGCAACCTTTATTAAGGCACTTTGCAGCTACGTTAAGAACAGAATTTTTTTTTTGTTGTTAGGTCCTTAAATGTTTTAGCGCTTAAAATCAGATCCGAATTTTTCAATTGATTGATTTCAATAGCAATTTTATTTTTTGCTTGTTTTGCCAACGCCGAACTCTTTATGTTCAAAAGAGTAATTCTTCTGTTGGTTCTTAGCAATTATGGATTTTCAATCCATTTATAATCATTAATCAATGATACTGGGGCGAGACCGGTACATAACTTTCATGCTTGAGCTATTATGACCATTTGATATTCTTGATTAAACAAAAGCAACTTTGCTTTTTTTAGGATAGGTCTTGTGTGAGTTTTATTGGGAACAATAATCCGTAAAGCTCTCTTTTGTTGACAAATAAGTTTCGTAACATTTTTAGAGTCACTGTTCCCCCAGATTTCAACACCGTAAATCACATGGCTTCTAATCAACGCATTATACAAAAGAACTTTAGATTTGCACGGCAACAGTTTATTAAACCTTATTAACAGGTAAATCCTTTTGCTTATTTTCTTTTACACATTAATTAAATGATGATGCCACTTCAATTTGTTGTCCCACAGGATACCCAAAATGCTAACACTTTTATTTTTATAATTGTCACCACATTGGGTGACCTTGAGACCTTGCAACTTTACTTCTACTTTTTTTTTTGCTACCAAAAATCATTATTTTTGTTTTTTCAGGATGAAGTGTATGCCCATTGGCTACAAAGCAATTACTGATTTTCTCCAATTCTTTGCAACATAATTCTTGATACTCTTCAATCGAGTCAGCCTTTGCAACTATTGTTGTATCATTAGCAAAAAAATAGCTGTCAAGCTCTGTTGCACTAGAGAGATCATAGACATAAATTTTAAAAAGCAAAGAACCTATACATGTTCCTTGACCAACTCCTAACTTTACAAGTCTTTCTTTAGATTTGTAATTTCCAATAACAACTGCCTGCCTCCTGTCAGCTAAATATGAAGAAATTCATTTTAAAGTTTTTTCACCAGCACCAATGTTTTTGAGTTTGTTATAAATAATGGCATGCACGCAACTGTCAAAAGTTTTTTTTGCATAAATTAATGACTGTTACAATTTTTTTTTGGTTTCTATAACTTGTTATTTTATTGAGAAGTTTCAAGTTTGCATGGATTGAATTACATCCCATTTTGAAGCCAAATTGATTTATCGGAATATTTCCGTTATCCTCAAGATTCATCTCAATTTGATGTAGTACAATTTTTCAAATAATTTCGATAATGCTGGTAATACACTTATCGGTCTGTAATTATCCATAACGGTTTTATTTCCTTTTTTATAAAAAGGTTTTATCATTGCTAGTTTCATATCTTTGGGGAAATAACCATTACTAATTGATTCGTTGATCATTTTCGTTAAAAAAAGTTGTGCATCCTTATATTGCTTATATTTAATAAAATTGTTACAATTAGGTCAAAACTACAACTACTTCTAAGAACTAATTCATTAAGACTTTGCATAATTGACTCATTAGATACTGACTTTAAGTAGTAAGATTGTGGGGCAGAAGATATTTGTTATGGTTCATGGGAGTAAAGTTGCTTGGTCTTAGCTCAAGTGAAGTATCTGTAAAGTGGTCTATGAATAAGTTAGCTATTTCAAGTTCTGATTCAATTAATAAACTGTTTTTTTCAAGTTTTATCAAATCATCATTACAAGATCTTTGAAGAACTTTGTTAAGAACAATCCACGTTTTCTTACTGTCGCCTTTATTAACGCCTTTATTAATGAATTATCAATTAGACTAAAACAAGAAACGTGGTCCAATGTGTATAAAATTCAGAACAATAACGAAGCTTTCAATAACTTTTTTGATAAATTTCTAGAGTGCTTAAATGAAACCTGTCCTCAAGAGGACATACAAGATAAGGGAAAAGCAGTTGCTAATCCGTGGATGGATAAATTGGTGAAAATGAAAAAAATTACAAAAAATATAAATGTTTTTACCAAAATCTTATTAAAAATGCAAAAAAAATTACTACAGTAATCAAATCATTAAATGCAAGTTTGATAGTGGTCCTTCATTAATGATATATTGTGTAGAAAAAAAAAACTCAACTTCTTTACCAAAAATAATTAATGTATATATATATATATATATATATATATATATATATATATATATATATATATATATATATATATATATATATATATATACTCTATTGAAAGTATATATAGTGGCTCTATGAAAAGACTGCGACGACGTATTGTCATCTTCATCTTCTTTGAGCCCCTGTCTGTTTAATTTTTTATTTTATAAAGATCATTGTAATAAGAAAAGTTTATATTATATATTGTATATACAAAAACGGTGCTTGTCCGTAAAACGAAGGAGGTTTTACAATCTTCTTTTTTTTTTTTTTTTTTTTTTTTTGCCGTTTCATGTTTCATATATTTACAATATAGACATATTACATTTATAAAAATTGGCCGGAGCAAGAAGAAGACAATGACTGTCTTATCGCCGAGCCCCATTTACAATTGCCCGTGTTTATAAACAAATATAAATAAAATATACAAAAAAACGTTAAAGAGTACATAACTTTTGTCAAATAATAAAATGACATTTATATTAAAATTTAAAAGTAAAGAAAGTTTTGTATACTAATACAAATATATTTGATACATATAACAAAATATATTTAATAATAATGGGAGCGTTTGTTTCTATTTTAAAATTTCCTTTAAAAAAAAATACTTAAAGTCTATTGAATTAAAATCTAATTGAAGTAAGATTCTTTTAGAAACTGTTTTAAATTTTTCTAAAGAGTAGTGCTCTTTATTAAAGTTTTTAATAAAATCTTCTTCGTTTTACGGCATATTTTTTCTTTCTTGTATATATGTATGCTGATTATTACAACAACAACAAAAAAAGAATTTTATTGAAAAACACTTTGAAAAAAGTAAAGTATAAAAAATAAATTTTCAAATTTCTTTAACTTTTTTTAATATATGATGTTAACGGACTAATATAAACCATTGAGAAATTAAAATTGACTTGCTGGTAAGGATGAACCGAAGCTAAAATTTTGCCGAAGCCGAAGCTTCGGCCGAAGCTACTTTGCCGAAGCCGAAGCTTCGGCACTATATATGCTTAAAATTTAATCAGCATTCAGATCAGCAGGGGTGTAAAACAAAAAAAGTTCTAAAACTAAGATCTTTGACTAATAATATAGAAAAAATTATAAAAATGAGGACACAAGTCAGGGTTGCTGCCCCAGACAGGGCAAAAGCTCTCAGCGCCCCTGTTAGAAAGTTTCTCATTATGTCGTTTCTGATACTTCAGCGCACCTAGTGTTTTTTTTTAAGACTTAAGCTTTTTTGAAACTTTCTCCCCAAATTTTCCTACTTCTAGTTCTACTTTTTCTGTGTGCAAACCATATTACTGTTATATAGTGCACAATATCAGTAACTCACATATATTTCCAACTATTCCCAATATTTTTCTAAGATTATTGCTATTTTTTTGGTCTTTTATAGCCATACTGTTCTTCTATGTAAACATCGTTTCTCTTTAATCTTCTATCTAATCATCTAATTTTTAATTCTCTATTTAATCATCTTGTTTGCTCTATCTAATTATCGTGTGCTAGCTGAACATCCTCAAATTTTATTCCCCATAAATTACTGTTCCGCATCTTTCATGTGCTGTATATTTTATTTTCATTTTTAATGCACCTTTTATTAAGAGTGGATAAAAATTTCTGAATATTCCTCAAGTAAATTTATCTTTTACACTTGAACACTCTTTCTCTAAATAAACACTCTTAGCTGATCTAGTTGTATCTACAACATAAAAAATCTTACAAACACACTCTATCTTTTTATTGCTATTTATTTCAATATCTTTTTTTTACTTCTCTGAATTTATTAAACGAACAATTTCTAAACTAAAAAAAAACCCAAGTTAAGACCATTTTGTATTCCACTACAACTGTTGTGAACCTGCTGCTAAAAAAAAGTACAATTTATAGATTTCTCTCTAACTTCTTTTTTACACACTTTTAAGTTGTTGTTGTTGTTTTTTTATTATTTTTAATTTTACACTACATAACATTTCTTAAGCTTCTATTAACCTTTTACACTCTGAAGTTATAGTATTCATTCTTCTTCTGTCTCTGTAATGGATAAATCTGCATCAGTGTCTGAAATCAAATATTAACTATCTGTGACAAAAACTTCTATAGTAATCTAACAACTCAGTAGAGTGAGCTTTAAATAAAATAATAAATAGAATACTTTATAAATTTTTTATTTATAATTATATTATTATTTACTTTATATTTATAAATAAACAGGGACTGAGCAGGCTGATATTTATTTGATTTAAACTGTTTATTTAATTTAAATAAATTTTGATGATAAATATAAGAATTCAAAGTAATCAAGCTTTTAACCTTTAATTTATTTTAAATAAAATTTAAGTCTTCATATCATAAGAAAAACCAAAATATAAGTTTATATGTTTAATATATAAATTCAACTTAGAAGTATTCATAATATTAATAAACCAGCAAAGATAATTATTATCATTGTTTTTCTTTTTCTTTTAATTTATATAGTTTTGGTTGACTTTTTTTTTCTTTTTTTATTCAGTTCATTTATATTTCATTTGCTTTTCTTCCTTTTTTGTTGTTGAAAACTTTATGTTTTTTATGTGTCACTCCATTGACTAATTTGTAACTATATAAGTGACACCTAACCAATTTCTGTAATCTTACGATGAAAATTTGTAAATTTTTATTATTATGGTTAAATAAAAATTAAACATACACAGAATTTAAAATAGTAGCAACGTATCTTTAATCTTCTTTAAAGTGAGATTACTAAGATTTATAGGTCAAATGTTAAAACCAATTTTTGTTCTATTTGCGGTAATCCCACACAAAAATTAATATAAATTCGTTACATAAAACAAATTAAGGTTTTTTTTCCATTTTATTTTTAAAAAATTTTAATTTGTTTTAAATTATAAGGTTTTTATTCTGCATAAAAATGCTGATTCAGTTCATCTAAAGTCACACTTGGAAGCCTTCAAAGTGTATGAGGACCTTCCTTAATTTTACTATTATATTCAAAATATTTCTACTTATTTATTATTATCCCCTCCATAACAAGACATTTGGGAGTAAATAATACTAAGTATATGGTATAGACTCCAACTTTAACTCTGTAGTCCTAAATTTACAACTTAATTAGACACTGGTAATTAGCATATTTTTATAACTTGTACAACAGTAGCTTATAACTTTAATTACTTAAAATTTTTTGCCTAGGCCAAAGATTCGGCAAAAAATTGACCTGGCTTCGGCCGAACCGAAGCTTCGGCAAAATTGCCGAAGCTTCGGTACATCCCTACTTGCTGGCCCCATATTTCATTATTATATGATTTTTTACATTTTCACCAATATTTGAAAGGTAAAATATTACCATTTTTGTGGTAAAATTGATATACTGAGCTCAAAAATCACATTAGAGAAAAAAATATATTATTTTTAGAGCGCTTTGGGTCTCTTGCAAGAGACCCAAAACGCTCTAAAAATAATATATTTTTATCAAGCTTGATTACATTTACAAAAAAAAATTACTCTAATATAAAAGTTGGTTTTAAAGGGTTTTGCTTACCTGTGGCCCAATGTAAAATAATGCGAAATATGCCCAGAGCTCCCTTCGAACGGGATTTCTAGCTTCTGGTGCAGTGGCCACTGAACCCACTAACCACGCTCCAGAACCCATTAACCACGCTCTAACCACTGCGCCACGGCCGCTAAAAAGTCATTAAAGATAAAAGTATTATAAAAATATAATAAAAGATAAAAGTTTTATAAAATCATCTTGAACTTTAAACTTCGATTTAAAGTTGCTAATTTTAAATTCCCTAACTTTCATCTTTTATTTTTATTTATTTATTTTGAGTTTTCATGCTAAATTTTTCTATACAATTTTCTTATATCCGAAGATATTGTTGGCTTAGCATAGGAACAGCCACAAATAGTCATTAAGACTAATCCAAAGTAGCGTCCGTTATTGACCAACATTCATCCATAAGATATTTTGTCATGCAAGTTTTTGAGATATTTTAATTGCCCAGTTTGCCCTTGAAAAGATGCTTAACATTATAGAAAATTATTTACCAAAAGTCTGTTTAATAATTAAGTACAAAAGAATAAACATTGTGAATACTTATTCATTGTATTCTCCATTTCATTCTGTTTAACTCTATAGTTTCAAATTATGCTTTTTTCATACTAACAACAAAACACGTTTTATTTTAAAATTAAAAGCTATATAACAAAAACAATAAGGCGAGGTTGTCTTATGTTAACACAAACTTTTTATATTAACAAAACAAACTCTAAATATTGCTTTATTATTCTTTATTAACTCTTTATAACTTTTCAGATTTTCCAGCAATATATTCTTTGAACCTTTAAAAATATAAATAAAATGTTGGAGAAATGTGAAAATATCAAACTTTACAATAACATGAAAATATCAAACTTTACAATACTATTTTGTGAAATATGCTCTTTATAACTTTTATAGTTCAAGTATGCCGTTGATTCCCAAAGCGGGTGTAAGCGCGCCCTAGGTATTGACCTTGTGTGCATTTGGGAGGTGGCAATTAAAAATAAAGGGGCGATGGAAATATAAAAAAGTGAGAAAAAATTAGGTGATTTAAAAATTTGTTCTGTTCTTAACATATTTTATTTATTGTGTTAAATAAATTTAAGATTAGAACCATATCTTTTATAAACGATTTCCCGTTACCGCTGGTTACGAACTCCTGCAAAGAGTTTGATGATATTTATCACGCCGCAGTGAGGCATGACTGCCTCACGCAGTGAAGGGTTCAGCAAATACATTTTGATTTAAGAACTTTTTTTAATATTTCTGTTTGTAAATACTACTATTTTATTTATGAGTGAATTAATACAACATGAATTAATAAACAACAATTTAAATTAATATAAAAAATGTTTTTTATTTTGTGCTATTTCTATTTGATATTTATAAAATGCTTATATTTGTCGTACAATATAAGTTTGAAAGCCTTCGATGTAGGCCCTGCGATATTATTTCTATTTGAAAGCACAATAATAAGTATTGCGCAAGCATCAAACATTATTATACCGTACGCATTTAGTAAAGGATTTGTAAAAATTGGCACAGCGATTGCCACTATTCAGATAAAATAACGCTACAGTACTTTAATAACTTTTAAATTAAATAATGCATAATTTAAATGATCAAAACGGCGCAAAATATTTGACTAATAATTTAAATAATATTTACAAAAACAAATTCTGTTTTTAACTAAAATAAGTAACGGCACATTCACACACATATAAAATATAAAAAAAAACACAAAAATAATCAGTTTGTAAATATGGATTATGTATTTTTAAGTACCTAGTAAGTGCGTTATCAAAAGTTTCGGTAAATCAAAATTTATTTATAATGAATATGATTTTACACGGTTGATACATTCTATAAACCAAAGCACTTGTACAATCTTTTCTGATTTGCTAACACGGAAACCAATCTTTAAAACTCCAAATTTATTTTGCGTATTTTTTATACAAATACTAGTTTAAAATATTTCTCCGTTTATTCTATAAGCATTTAAATTCATCAAGCAGTCGTTTTTTAAAGCATTAGCTAAAGATAAGTGCAACGTACATTTTTTAAAAGGGTCAGGAGAATTTCTGTTGTGCCTCTTTGTCGATGCTATTTTAGGTTTGTGCCACCTGCGGTGCGAAGCTAAATTAGCTTGACAGCTAAACGCTTTATTACACTCTGGACACCGATGTTCAATATGTTTAATGCTAGAACATTTATGATAAGCAAGCGATAGCGCATTGGAATGGTACTCTCCACATAATTGACATTTGAAACCTGCTTGTAATAATAAGCTTTTACCGCTAGTTCCCTCGACAACATTTTCTTTCGATGGACTATATTTGTTATCTTTTGTAAAGATTTCCTCTGTTTTATCTGAAGGTAATTTTTTTACAAATACAGTTTTCATACTTAAAGCAACAACGGATTCCAAGTCAGTTTTGTCTTTTCTGAACGGTTTCGATTTATTATTTAATACCATGTAAGGCTGAAATAGACGAGACTTTTTGTAGTGCCTAACTAAAAATGATTTAGGCATTTTTAGTTTTGTGTTACTGCATTGCTGAGGCTGTCAGTTCGATAGCAACTGACATTTAACAATTTGATTTTTCTTGTTGTTTTGTTTTAGAACTAAAGATAAGCTCGCACCTGTTACAAAGTGCAAAAACAGTTTAAACTTTTAACAATGAATATGTGCTCTTATTATATTTTCATTATATTATGTCTTTTATTAAAAAAACAAACAAATATGATACACCTACCGCCAAGAAACAGGGGGTAATTTTTAGGATATATTTATAGATCTTTTAGCGAGAAAATTCGTAATTCATAACCGTTAAAAAAGCAGAAAATATAAAAGTATGTTAAAAAAAATTGTATGTCTGAAACTAAACCACTTAAAAAAAAAATTTTAAACTGCCATGTATGGAAACGATCCCCCTTCCTGCATCTATAACCTTTTTTAAGATAAGGCATTTTTGCTTGGTTTATTAAACAAAGCTATTTCAAGCGCTTACATTTTTAACAAATTTTTTTTTAATCTTCTTTTTAACATAAGTTTGTTGTTTATTTAAGTATTGGATATATGATTTTTATTATTTGCGCAGATGGTTGATACATAGGCAATAAAAAGTGTAAAAGCATTTGTTTGCTTGTTTTGCAAGCTGTTATTAACGATGTCTAATTAAGAGAAACAACAATCTTCAAGTTACAAAAATAGAAGTTGCCAGATAAAACTGCACAATTAAAAAAAAACGTTTAACAAACATACACAAACGTATTTAAACGTTTTAAAAACGTTCCGTGCTTACTAGGTAGTCCAATAAGAAGGATCAAATATATTAAAACCTTTGCAACAATCAGAAAAATTATGTGCTATATTATTGGAAAAACTTAAAAAATATCTATTTAAAGCATGCGCTTTTAAAGCAAGTTCTTTTACTTGTAAACAAAGTACTAATTTCTTTTATAAAATGCGGATACCTGCAGCAATAATATATAATATGTATAATATATATATATATATATATATATATCTACTATAGCATATATCTATCTATATATATATGCTATATATACTGTATATATATATATATATATATATATATATATATATATATATATATATATATATATATATATATATGCATATATATACTATAGCATATATATATATAATATATATATATATATATATATATATATATATATATATATATCTACTATAGCATATATCTATATATATATATATATGCTATATACACTATATATATCTATATATATATGCATATATATACTATAGCATATATATATATCTACTATAGCATATATATATATATATATATATATATATATATATATATATATATATATATATATATATATATATATATATATATATATATATACTATAAATCGGTAAAATCTGGCTAAGATATATATATATATATATATATATATATATATATATATATATATATATATATATATATATATATATATATATATATATATATATACATATCATTATAATTAATAGCTTAGCAATCAAAGTTTCATTTAAATATTATATTCAGTTATCACTATTATACATTATACCAGGTTTCGTTGAGACTGAAAACACAATATCTTCAATAAAAAACAAAAACAAAGACATTATTACTTTTTTTATTCCCATTTGTTTAAATCGAAAACAATAGAAAATGAGAAATTCCAATGTAAAAAAAAATTAACGCAAAACAAATGAATTGAAAAAGTAAATATATTGTTTGCTTGCAGATTTTCAATCCTAATATAAATCGGTAAAATCTGGCTACCCTAGAGTCTAAACTACATATGTAAGAGACTCAAAGTAACTGAAACAAAATTCAAGGCCATAAATAACACTTTTTGTAAAAAAAAATCATAGCGTCACGCGCATCATTGAAGAATAGAAATGGAGCCATCCCATGCCCCAACAACTAATGTAGAAGGAAGAACTGGATGAGACGCAACTTCAACACATGGAGAGTTAAAGCATTTTATTTTTTTCAATAGTTTTGATGTGTAGTTGTCATAACAAAAAAGAAAACCGTCTGTGTCACCAGAATAAATGATTCTACCATCGCGACTGATGTCAAACCCTACGCGATAGCCGGAGCACTGAAATATTATTTAAAAAGAATAAGAAATTATTAATACTTAGGAATAAATATTAAAAACAATAAAATAAAAACTTATTATCTCACCTTTATGTTATGAAAATAACAAAATATTTGTTATTTATAATTATTACAAGAAAAAAGATAAAGTTGAAATATAATTTATTCTAAATATTTTATAGTTCACATAATAAAGAATCCTTAAGAAGGTTAAAAATTTAGTTTCCTGAATACTAACTTTGTGGTCACCATATCTTTTGCACTTATTCATTTTGTATGGAAATTGGGTATCAAAAATGACAATATAATTAGCAGCAGATTGAGCAAGAAAATGTTCACCACTTGGATGATGTTTGAGATAAGAACATGAAAAAGGTTCCTAAAAAGATATTTTAGTGGAAACTGCAAAGTTTGTAAAAATTAAAATAAAGTTTTAAATAAAATATATTATACTTAATTATGATTACGCTATAAGATAAAAATTTGTTGTTGTGCCGGTCCACCGAATCAGTGGTGATAATGTTTAAAGGTACCGCCTACTTATTTTTTATGCACAATACCCTAATAAAACACATAAACATCATATTGATGAGAAAAAAATTATAAATAAAATTTAAATTAAAAGTTTAAAGAACAAATAAATTCATTTTAATCATTAAAATTTCTCAACTTAATAGTAAAACGACTGCGAGCCATAAAGGACACATTGTTGCTGGTCTGCACATTTTTTTTTGCGCTAGCACGCTTGGATTTCAGAAAATTCTATTCATAAACTTAAAAATATTAATTTTGAAACTTAACTCTATCAAATAAAATAAAAATATCCTTTAAATCGTCACAAAAAAAAAAAAATTAAATGGAAATATTTTTATTAATATTTTTTGTTAACTACGAAAACATTTTCATGTGATTTTTTTTTTTTTTTTGTAAATTACAAGAAAATAAAGTTCAAAAAAATTATAATGATGTTTAACAAACATAAATAATAACTTATAGATAATTTTAAAGATAACAAACGAATTCTATCGAAAGGAAATGTTTTAAATATAATACTGCGTTACTAATAAAAACTTTTAATTTTAAATATATAAAAAGCATGAAAGTTCTTAAGTAAGCTATTTCACTGACGGAAAAATAATACCATTAAGTCATTTAATAATTTTTCAATATCAATAATATCATATAAAAACCAAATAAATATTTTACCAAAATAAATATTTTTCTATTTTAATACTAAATATAAGTCGATTACTATATGAGAAATTTTTTATGAAACTTTCAAAATTGTCTTAATAATTTAAGACTCAAAATTGTCATAATAATTTCACAAAAACATCTTCATATCATGCTTTCTATTTAAACATTTTCCTGCGAAGATGGGCTTTAATTTAATGTCACACAAGAGTAGAGATCGCCGGTTACAGTATACGGTATACTAACTTTACGGTATACTTTACCGTATAGTTGGTATACTAAAAACTACTATACCAATTAGTATACCTGTTATTTATGAAATATTTTTTAAATGATTTTATAATTCAATAATGATATTATCTTAATTGATTAAATAATTGTATTATATGTATTACGCGATTACTTTTTTAGATAAATAATACAATAATTATTAATAATAAATATAGTATTATTTATAGTAGTATTAAAAGAATTATCATTTATTAAAGTGTTGTTTTTTTGTAATTTAACTTTTGAAAGGTTTTTGAATTTATTTATTTAAATTTTAATTGTTTTTTGTTCTTTTTTATTTGTTTATTGTATGTATAAAAGTAACATGTTTACTCTTACCTTGAAGTAAAATATTTAATGTCAGAACAAATTTACCAACATATCTCTTTTTTTGGAAAAGGTTCAACAAGAAAAATTTATTGCAAATATTGTGATAAACAAATTACAGCAAAATCAACATTAAGATGGTAGCAGCATTTGAGAGGATGTAGAAAAACGTCTGATGAGGTTAAGTTGTGCTTTAAAAAAATAAAAAAAGAAGTTCAGAGTGTTATAGTTGAAACAAAAGGATATGATAATATGGCTTCACAAACCTCTGAAAATTTAGTTTTCAAAGAATCTGGGCAGCCTGCTAAAAGAACTATGCTAAATTCATACTTTGACACTATAAGCAAAGATGACATTGATAAGATAGATAAATCATATGCAAGGACATTTTTCCATACAGGAGTACCTTTTGCATTAGCTGATTCTTCTGCATGGAAGCAACATCATGCTAATCTTAGACCTGCATATAAACCTCCATCTAGTAAATGTATAAGTGGGCGTCTTTATAAAGATGCATTAAATGATGAAAAACATGCAATAAAAAAATATGTTGATAGTTCTGAATACGTTAGTATAGTGACTGATGGATTTTCAAACATTAATGTGAATCATCTTGTTAGTTATTCAATTCATGTTGAAAATAGGACTATGAAACCTATTGCTTACAAAATTGAGCCTACTGGTCAAGAACAGCAAACTGGCATTAATATTGCAAAACGCATAGAAAATGTAATTCTTGAAATAGGTGTTGATAAAGTTACAAGCATTGTTACTGATAACGCATCAAACATGAGAGCTGCATGGGATATTATTGAAAAAAAATATCCAAAAATATTTTGTAATGGTTGTGCTGCCCATACAATAAATCTTTTAGTAAAAGATATTTGCCTTCTTCCTGAGTTTGTGGATATTTTACAAAAGTCTGGAAAACTGACAGCCTTTGTTAAACAAAGAACATCACTTATCGATCAATTTCGTATAATTCAAAATCGTGTTAAACAAGAAAATAATTTGAAGAAAATGCGAGCATTATCACATGTAGTTTTAACACGGTGGTATAGCCATTATACATCTGTTGCCCGTAATCTTGAAAACAAACTAGTTCATTTGAATTTAATTAACTCTGGTGCCTTCTCACGTGTATCTATATCAAAAAAAAAATCAGATTATGTAAACATTGTACAAGACAATTTTTTTTGGGAAGAATGTCAACGTTTTATTAATGTTATGAAACCATTATCAAAATTAGTAGGTAAACTGGAATCCGATAGTTGTCTACTTTCTGAAGTTTATATAGGGTTTGTTAACTTAATGGAAATATGGAAGGAAGACGCAGTATTAAAAACTCTTGTTTTAAGCAGATGGGAATTTATTCACACGCCATCTATGGGATTTGCATACTTTCTTGATCCACGAAATCATGGTGGCAGAAATATGTATACTGAGTCTCCTCCATCTAGCAAAAGTGATCTTGTTATAGTACTTGAGTTGCTTCCAAAGTACATAGTTGAAACAAGAGGACTTTGCAATTATGAAATTTCAAAAAAAGAAATAAAATCATTTCAGAGGCTATGTGCAAATCCGACTCCAGATTTTGCAACTCAGATTAAATTAATGGATCCTGATATCTGGTGGGGAGTTGAGGGTGCAAGTAAATTTCCAAATTTAGCAAAGGTTGCACAAATAGTCTTTACTATTCCAACTTCTCAAGCTGCAAGTGAGCGAATATGGAGTTTGTATGATTTTATTCATTCAAAGCGAAGAAACCGACTTGCAAAAGATAAAGCAATTGGATTGGTTCTTATGTATGCAAATGCAACACTCCACGAAAAAGAAGCAAATATTGCTGATATAATGCTTGGCAATACTAGTGATCACGATGAGAGTGATGAGAGTGATGAGGATGGTGTTAATGTTGATTTCACTTTAGAGACTTAAGTTGATACAAGTGATTTATTGTCACAGTTGGCTAATTAAATGCTTTATTTAATTACTAAGAAGTTTTAAAAATCTTTATATTACATCGACAAATCTTTAGATCATCGAAAAATATTAGTCAAATTTTGTTTAAATGAAAATAAAAATGTTTTTGTTTACTTTAGTATTTATTTATTCTTCCACCTGATTATGTTTATTTTGCTGTCTCAAAGGCATTCTAAAAAAGTAGAGAGCAGACAAAGTCCAGATGGCCAACAAATCTATAACAAGGTTAGGGCCCCAGAGTGCAAAAACTGCAAAAAATTGAACAAGGGAGGAGTTTTGTGTCATGTGATAAGTTTCTGCTGTTTCTATTCTTCTAAAATTATTTGAAAACACCAGAACTTATTTTTAAATACTTGTTCTAGTAAGTGGTGGATTTTGATCAACGCTTTTTATTTAATTACTTAAGTTATTAGTTTTAAAAATCTTTAAATATATTTTTGTTCTTACTTTAAATCAGTTAAATATCAAATCCAATAAAAACATTCAACCTAATGCTAATTTGAATATTTATCTAAGGACGGGGTTGGGAAATTAAAAAAAGTTGTCTGGTCCCCTCGCGACTGAACAAATAACATTTTTTAACTTCTCTTATAGTTTCGCTAACAAATTTATTAAGTAAAAAAAGTTGTTTATTGCAATGACGTCATTGGTATACTTAACAGTATACTTTACGGTATACTATACAGTAAACGGTATACTAAAATTTTAGTATACCGTAAACTAGCGATCCCTACACAAGAGTGACTTTTCATAGATTTAGATAAATATTCCTTGAAAATGTTAATGTCTCTTAAAGAATAAGTTTTTTTTAAAAAATTATTAAATGGCTATGTGATAGTAAACACAATTTAAAACATAAATCAATAGCTCATAGACCAATAGATCTTCTTATTGAATGTCACTACATATTTTATCAATTTTTGGATTATTTTCAGAATTAGTGTTTAATATATATCAGAATTTGTATCATTCAATCCAATTAAAGTGCAACTAAATATCATTGTAACAAAAAGATTGATGAAACTCAGAAAACTTACTACTTTTGTTTACTACAAACTTTTACAAATCTTTCTATCAAATAAGTAGTAACGCTTAAGTAGAAATTTGTGACATTTTGTAACAAATCTTGGGGTAAATGGGATTAAATTAAATTAATATATTCACAATGCAGTACGTTAAAGAAGACTTTGCAACAGTACTTATGCAGAATAGTTACTGAACTTTCAGGGTGTCATTTATCTTAAGTCCTTCTTACAAAACAATATGACAGGTATTGAAAATAATTAAATTGAAGAGCACTGTTTTGTAAATGATGATGGATACCTTTAGATAAACTAACCTTTAAGATTAAAGCTTATGACTGTTTTGACATAAGAGATTTTGCTGATGAATCTTTACTGTATATTTTTGTAAAAACCTTTTCTAACTTAAACTTTTAATCCCTTTTTAAGCTTTTTGATAGCTGCATTTAAAATTGTTTTTATCCGAAAGCTTGTAAACTATGCGATTTTTTGTTCACACAGATACATCTTTAAACAAAAGTAAAGGGCACCTCTTATAAAAACAATAATTTAACTTAATAGTACTAATTATAACAATAATAATTGTAACAATAATAATAATAGTGATAATAAAAAAAAAAATTATATTGCATAATAATAAACTTTAAACACAGTTAAGGTAAACATACCAAAGAAATTCATTTTGAGTTTTTGTCCAGTCAAATATAATTTTGTCTAATCAAATTTTATTACTTGTTTTAAAAACTGCATCTGTTCTTTTTCATTTTTTGTTGGCACTTTTTTTTTGATTGGCAAATGAATTTTAAAATAATTTACAAACTATTAATGAATTTTCAAGGTTGCGTTTGGACACAAAATAATTTTCTTCATGTGTAAATCATTCTTTTCCAGTAAATTATTTTCTATTACATACTCCATAAAACATCTTTTATCCATTTTAAAATGACTAGATATTGAAAAGATAATTTATAAATTAAACTTTGGTCATCAAAAAAAACACACAAAAAAAAACACAAAACAACCAAAAACTTGTTTTCTGTAAAATTAATTTAAGCTTTTTTTATGGTTTTTTATAAGTCGTAACTATAAAATTTACTGTTGTTCTTATTGTTTGTTATCGTGTTTTTTTATAGATCAAGTATAGTTTTGTTTCTTTTGGAAGTTATAAAATAAATTATAAACAATATTTTGGTAATACATGGTGGTATTCATGGTGGTAATACATGGTGGTATTCATGGTGGTAATACATGGTGGTATTCATGGTGGTAATACATGGTGGTATTCATGGTGGTAATACATGGTGGTATTCTTTTTTCTGAGTTTTCTATGAGTTAGTACAAGTTCATAATTCTATTTTTCTTTAAAAGTTTAAAAGTTGTTATTAATTTATATTGGTAACATCTAAAAAATGACAAATAATTGTTTCAATGTAATCTAAATGTTTTTAGTGAGCAAATACTTTTGAGTAACGATAAAACAATAAAATAAAATAAAATCAATTTTAAATCACAAATATTAAAAAAAAAGTTAAAACAAGAAATTACAAAGTTCTAAATCTTTTTCCTAACAGATTTGCTATTGACTTCTGTTAGAATCAGAGATTGCATTTTTAAAATAAATAGTGGTCTTCTACATCTGCTAATTATGTTAATGTAATTAACTAATAAGTAAATGAAGCTTTACACCCACAAATATACTCTTAGAATATGGGTTGGCATTCTTGAAAAATAATTTGCAAATGCAACCAGGTATAAAGGAGACATAACTTTTTTGGAAGTTAAAACTCACTTTATATTACATGCCACTTAACAAATAGCATTAATAAAATTTTCAAAAATGTTGGATTAGTCCAACCTTTGATTAATAGATAAATATTTCTAAAAATAAAAATAAAATAAAATATTCTAGAAATAAAAGTATTTATAAATCTTTATTTTCAGATGCTTCTATTTAACTTTAGAAGTTAAAAAAATCTTTAGTAAAATAATAAAAAGGTATAACAAAACACCTTTTCATATTGCCTGGTGATGATTGTAATCTATTATTTTACAACTTTATCATTAAGTAAAACTAAATAAAAACATAGCAAGATTCAGTAATTCAACATTACATAAAAACTGTTAAAAAATAAATATAAAAAAGTTAGTAAAATGAGATATACCTGATAAATTTGAACTGGCATAAGAGCAGTACTAGCAAAATCCCAAGCCATAATGGCTTTATCAAATGTATTTTGTTTTAAAACTTCAGAGCTGGTTATTAGAGTTGTGTTATCAGATATGAAAGTCATATCCTGGATTTGTCCAAACGTTGCTTTAAAGTGCTTAATGCTCTAAAGTTCAAGATTGTATATAAAGTAAAAACACATGTATATTTAATGTTTTTTAAATAACAACTAATTATTGCATAACAAATTTATAAAGTCCCTATAAAATTTGTGTTAAACCTAATTAATTATCTCTTCGTTTAATTATGTCTACAATTTGTAAAAAGTTTACCATTTAAGTTATTTTAGTGTAAACTTTTGTTTTGTAAATGTAAATGTTTTGTTTTCTACAAAAAAAATCTATGCAGTGCTCAAAACACAGCATAATAGAGAAAATGTTTAAAACAAATCATAGTAAGTTAATATTTCACAGATTTACTTATTTTTACAAGAATGCTCATAATTAAAAACACAGCCCTATTTAAAACCTGATTCCTTAAATAAATACCGTATTTTCTTAATTTTTCACGCCAAATAACAGAATTTAAGTACAAATACTGTAAATTAAAAATTTTTTTTTTAAAATACATAAAATAATAATAGATGGGCTGTAATAAATGATATAATAGTATACATTTTATTACCTCTTTTTGTCTTGCATCCCAAGCAAATACACCGATCTTTGAAGTTCCTGTTAAAAACACATTACTCTGTGTAGGATGCATCATGACTTTCGTTACTACATCTTTGTGCGTATAAGTTTTTAAAACACTCCCTAAAACATTTAAAATGAAAAAATAAATAAATAATTACTTTGACATATAGTTATAAAAAATTTAAAATTAGGCCTTTTAATTTAACCTGATTCAGCATCTATAAGCTTGGCTGTTTTGTCAAAACTAGCAGTAATTATGTTTTCCATTCCATGAGTCCATATTGCATCTTTTATACCTTCATCGTGTATAGCAAATCTAGCTTTTTCTAACACCTGGGAATCTGATTTGTCTAAAAGTACAATAAATTTATCTAAGGCAGAAGATAAAACAATATTGACGCTTTTATAATTCCATTTTAATGAAGTAATTGGTTTTTCATATACTTTCTTCGTTGTGAAGTATTTCTCTGGAAGTAAATTTTTTATCCTCACACTACCACTGAAATGTGTAACTGGTAGGTATATCTCTTTTTCATCTTTACTTTCTGAAGTCTTTAATGATTCTTTGGAGCGCTTAGATACATAGGGTTTAACATCAACCAACTCTACATTTACACTACGTTTCATAGTATTTTACCATCTAAATAGAAAACAACTTTAAACAAAAGGGGTGTCCCATACCAAGTAAACCAAGATGTGACTTTGACCGCTTAAGATTTTAATGAAATTTGGTTGGTTGGTTTAAAGAATTCAGAATAACAAATCCAGAAAATTTTAAAATCTTTTATAATTCAAAAGATACAGTAAATTAAAATTTCAGAATTTGCTTATACATTGAAGCTCTACATTTTTTAAAATAAAAAAATCAGAAAACTATCTTCTTATTTTAATTATATACAACTCTAGATTTACTTTTGTAAAACATTGATACTGAATTTTTTAGTGTCACATTTTATCCAAAATAGAAGTAAAAATTTGGTTCTTGATGGATCAATATACAAAATTAGATGGATTACTTAGTTTCTATATGTGGTAGGTTTCCTGGTTTCTATATGTGGTAGGATTCCTGGTTTTTAAAAACCGTTGATAAGATACAATTCAGTATAAATTTATAAATTTTATGGCTTGAATTGAGACTTGAATCTCTATTTCTGTCTTTTTTTATTTAAGATTTGACTTTTAAAATTAGTTTTACCAACTGGTTATTGAACATTTGATCTGATTTTATGCATGATACATGAACTTTTTGTCAGTATTGTACATATGCTATTGAGCTAATAAAATCATATAGCAAAAAGAAGGGATCAAATACAATTGATCAAATACAAATAAAAATTCAAATACGTTAATTCTAGGTTACCAAAAACAAATTCAAATACAAATATATTTATTCTGCATTTTCCAAATACAAATACAAATATTTGTACTTTAAGTTAAGGAAAAGTATAAAGATTTTTTCAAGACAAGTCCGATAAAATAATCTACTAAATAGAAGAATGAAAACAAGTCTTATAACAAAAATCCCTTAAAAACAAGATTATTTTTTGTTTTAGTGTTTAAAATAAAAAACAAAACAACAAACCTTGTGGTATTTCCCCCAAAAAAAACCTGGTTAACCTCATTCAAGGAATTCCAAATACATTTCAATGAAATACAAATATTTAAGAAATTTTTAAATCAAACACAATATGAATACAAATTTATCAAATTAGCCTATTTTTACCAAATACAAATACAAATTCGAATACCTATTTGACCCACACCCTGCAAAAAGCTATTTGTAGACTTGAGTTATAACTTTATAATTTTATTTAAAGTGTAAATTTATATCTGGTCTCCACTCAGTAATTGTTGTAAGTATATAAAAACATGAAATATACCAGAAAAAGCTTTTAGCACTAAAAATACCAGATATCAGACTATAAAAATTTCTTCAAACAAATTGAGACTACAAGCTGCATTGTTAGGATAACTGTCAAAATATCAACTTTTGAAATTGATAATTAATTGATAGACCGATTCCTAAATGAGCTAAAGAACGTTTCTAAAGACTATAAGTTTATAGTAGATAGCATAGAGTAGAACAAATCTAAAATGATTCCTGATATATATATATATATATATATATATATATATATATATATATATATATATATATATATATATATATATATATATATATATATATATATATATATATATAGTATACTCTATATATAAATTTTTAAAAATACTTTGTAATCCTAGATTTACTCTCCATTGCATTCAGTCAAGAAACCTACCTTAATCAGTGGAAGATGGCAAATATTCAAAGATTGTAAAACATGTAACTAAATAAAGCCGAAGTTAAAGATAATTCAAATCCTATGTAGCAAATGGAATAGTCCATTTGCTACATAGGATCTTGTAGATCTTCATGAATTTTTAAAGCACTTGAAAGACTTGATTTTATTGATAAACTTATTTGATTAATTTAAGGGGAAGGTGAATGACATGTTGCTATATATATATATATATATATATATATATATATATATATATATATATATATATATATATATATATATATATATATATATATATATAAATAAGTAGATATTCACTTAACAAAATTTTTTTTCATTTTACACTGTGTTTCATCAACAAAGACTCATCAGAAATGCATTTCTGATGAGTCTTTGTTGATGAAACACAGTGTAAAATGAAAAAAATTTTTGTTAAGTGATTTTCTACTAATTTATAATTGCTCTGTTCTTATAAGAACATTGAGCACTCTATTTTGTAGAATACATTTTTTTAAAAATTGTATATATATATATATATATATATATATATATATATATATATATATATATATATATATATATATATATATATATATATATATATCATAACAACATTTATGTCATTCACTCATGCATACTTTACATACTATAAGCTTTCAAATATGTTTATAAATCAAGTCTTTCAGGTGCTTTAAATATTTGTAACTGCAGAATTCCATTTTTTTGCATGGAAAGACTGCTTGTGATGGTGTGGAGTATGTCAAGCAATTTCTAGCATGAGCAAGTCTACATTCACTAATAGAAAATGTATGGTTAATGTAAACAAAATCTCAAAGGATTACATTTTCTATATATTTCAATTGGCACAATTAAATTGCATAAATTTTAAAGTAGAAGAAAGTTAGGCTACTTGTTTAACAATTTCAGGAACAAAAACCATTATCATTTCAAAATTGTGACTTATGCAAAACTTTCACTATAAATTCAGTCAACAGCTAGATGCTATGAAAAATCAACTCATGGAACAATCAAAATAATACATTTGTACTATGACATACATAATAATTTAACTACAACAATATAGTAAAATTATTACAAATTTAATACATTTATTTTAAATTTATTTAAAAAAATAATATATATTATAAGCATATATTATTATTATAAACATATTTACTTTAATGATAATGATAAAGTACAAGTTTACTTGTATGTACACAACATAACTACATAAACATAAATTAGTGAACATGTGCACTGTGATGACAAACCAAATAACTTGTTTCTTAATATTAAATGTTATTTAAACATAATAAACCAGTTAATTTAGTTCCTGCTAGCAATTATTTAATAAAAAAGCAGGGCCATAATAATAAAATTACAAAAATGTTACAAAATTTATAAAATAAAAAGTTTGAAATAGTAGGAAAATAAGTGAAATAGAATAGCTAGTGCTTATAATAAGATGGAAATTATAAAAAGTTTTTTTTTAAAAAAAAAAGCTACTTATACATTTTATATTCAGTAATTTTACTGATTTGAAAATCTTAATGGGATAACTTTTATGTGTTCAATACTTTGTTTGTGCATAAAGACACTTTATGCATTATGCATAGAATCAGACACATTGTGTAAGATGAAATAACCTGTTAGTAAAAGAGAGAAATATAAATTCTGCTTAGGCAAGAATAATTTGTGAAAAAATTTGCATGTTTAAAGGTAAACCGTCAAAGGGTGGGTAGGGGTGGGTGCAGGATTAGGAGAGACAATAAATATATAAAACTTGAGTTTAATTCAGGCTTAGATAAAGTTCTAATACTCATTAGGAAATACTTTTATTTTAAATGGTAACTTTTTGAATTACAATATGTAATATAAACTAAAGGGCATCATTTACTTTATTTTTATAGTTTTAAATGCATTTTGTTATAATTTCAATGTTTTTGCAACTTCTACCACTATTTTTTTTTCTAAAATCACTGGAATATGTAAGTTTAAGTTTTAATTTTTTAGAAAAATCCAAAATTTTAAATAAAAGCTAAAATCTTGTGAACCTTAAAAAATTTTATCTTGAAATTTTTTTAGGATTTTTTTTTAATTCATAAAACAAGCCTAACCAATTTCATCAAAATCAGAAGTGGTTCACACTAAAACCCTAACAATTTTAATCATTTGGTCAGAAATAAATCAAAAATTTTTTTCTTTAACATTATATTTAACAAAATCAACATAGTCATGTAATTATAAATAAGGTTCTTATAAAATATTACACTAAAACTATTAATTATGCTAATAAAAAATGATTAAGCTGAACTCATGTGTGCTTTGATAAAATTTTAGGCAGCCAGACTGATACCACTGACCTGATCTGCCCTTGAGTAAATGTCAAGCATTAAAAAAGTTTAAAAAAGACATAAAACTACTTTGCCTAAAATTCTTTTTAAATCAGAATTTATAACAAAAAAATTTATTGAATGCCAGATATAAATACATTAAATATATAAATAATACACTATTCTCCATAACTTTCAGCATCAAATGCTTTTCTAGCTTTCTTTAACTCTTCGTTCATGGTTAACAACTCTTTAACACGAGCATACTTTTTTGGATCTTTTCTTATTAAGTAAACAATATCTTCTACATGAACTCTTCCTTTTTTTCCAACATTCATTGCTTGCATAGTCATGTCTGTAATATACTGTACTAATAAATCTTCCATTAAATCAACAGTTTCTGTGTAAGAGCTCTGATCATCACCAAAACCATATAACATGCATCGTATTTCTTTTGTAAACAAACGTTTTTTTTTTCCATCAGAACTAATTGTTGATAAGTCTTGATCTTGGTCAATGTCATCTTCGATGTCATCCATAACTTATATTTGTTACTTTAATAAAAGTATAATAACAATAATAAATAATAATAATAATAATAATAATAATAATAATAATAATAATAATAATAATAGCAATAATTTAAACTACTGTATGTTAATCATTAGTTAAGAAAAAAAAAATAACTTTTACAAGTTAAAATTGCATTTCTAACTAACTGCTTTTAATTTTATCTAATTGTATTTTAACTAACTTTTTAAATTGAAGAGCCAATATCAAGGAAAATGATAAGGATAAATATCAATTATTAATTGAAATTCATCATGATTAAGAAAAACTTAAGAAAAGTACTATTATTTGCTGTTAAAGATTAAAAAATCACACTAAAGAAGCTATAGATATATTTTTAAAATCTCCTTTAACGCTATTTATAAAAATTTAGGTCTGAAAACCTTATAAATTTACACTAATTTGATATTAGAGGTAAGAAATTACACTAAAGTGCTGTTAGCCATCTTTTTAAAATGTACTTACATTTGTAAAAATCTATTTTAAAAACAAAACCTGGTTCTTATCGTCACTTCATTACGATTTTTTTTAAAGCTGAACCGGTTCAACTTTGTGAAAAAATCATAAACTAGTGACAAAAAGAACTAGGTTTTGTTTTTAATATTATTTAATTGTAAAGGGGCATTTCCATTTCTGTGCGTGATTTTTTTATTTTTCTTTGTTGTAGCAATTAAAAGCTGGGACTTAGAACAATATTTATACAACTATGATTTTCTTAAAAGACATTTTTTGCAACAATATTTTTATCATATTTCAGGCTACCTGAATAAGTTATATATATTTTGATCATTTTATTTTTTTGCATAATAATATTGCTACCGTTTGAAAATAAAACAAAAATTTTCAAAATGCTATACTTTAGCTAGAAATAATTGATGACTGCCATTTCTCATCGAAAATATATTTGTAAAACTTTTACGAATATATTGTATTTTTACTAAAAGTATAATATTTCAGTTAAAATACTCACAAGCAATTTATTTTCTTAAAAATATCTACATGAAATTAACAAATTCGCAACTTCCGTGCGTGATCATTCATGAGCTGCATTTAAACTATTGCTGTGACTCTATGATACATAGTGCAATCCTGTAACTTTCTGGAAAGCTATGCTAATATTAAATATATATATATATATATATATATATATATATATATATATATATATATATATATATATATATATATATATATATATATATATATATATATATATATATATATATATATATATAACGCTGAAACTTATATTTTCGAGGAATTAAAGATATTTTATTTAGTAAATAAAATTTGAGTTTTTCTGTTCTGTGCGTGATTCCGCTTCGAACTTAATTTATTCTTTGTGAACATTACTAATGTTTACCATTTTTTTGTTTACAAAATATTTATATAGGTTAGAATTAAATAAGAGCAAATTGGAGATCGCCAGTTTTATCATTATGTAAATAATAGACAAAACATATACGAGTTTCCGTGCGTGATTTTTTGGAAATGCCCAATGTATAAAATGGTAGTCTATAACTAAACCTGATTTTGAAATTTCGTAAATGGTAGATTATGAAGTTTTTGATTTTCAACCAAAAGTTTCTGATTTTTATATTTACACCTACTTAAAACATGTACTACTAATTTTCCAACCGACTAAGCCGTTGACCTACTGTATTTTTGACCTACTGAATTTTCAACCTACTGAATATTTAACCTATTGTATTTTCAGTTATATGACTAGTTCGTTCAGGTATGTATTTTGTATATTTTGTTGTTGAATTGAATACGAGCCAAATTTGATCAGCCTTGGCGCAATGGTATTTATCTTGATGAGAATGTTACATGAAAACCGCATATTGACTACATTTGCACAAAAGTTTCTAAAAATATAGGAGTCCTCTATAAGTCAAGAAATTATTTAAACAAAACCATTTTAATCCAACTCTATTACTCATTTACACATAGTTATATTAACATGCAAATATTGCTTGGGGAAATACAAGCAAAAGTAAGTTGCGTACTCTTTATCATCGTCAGATAAAACCAATATGCATAGTCTGTTTTGAAAATCAACTTATGCATTCAAAGTTTTTATTTAAAAATATTAAAGTACTTAATATTTATGAAGTGAATATATATAAAATATTTTGTTTTATGTTTCAATGTAAAATCAATCCGTCATTACACATTTTTAAAGATTTTATTACCTTAAAAACAAAAAATAAGTATACACTACGAAATGATAATTTACTCTATGAACCCTTTTGTCGAACAAAATTCAAGCAGCTCTGTATAGCTTATCTTGCACCTAATCACTGGAACAAAATCGTTTTACCTAATTTTGATTGATCAGTTAGCTTCTCAGTCTTTAAAAATATATTAAAAGAATTCATTTTTTTTAATGACAATATTTTTAAATATTTTTTAAAAATAAGAAATTTATATAAACACATTCATTATTTTTGTATTTTGTAATTTTCATTTGTTTATATTTATTAATTGCTTAAGTTATATTTTATTATAACGTTTTATGATTCTGTATGTATGTATGTATGTATGTATGTATGTATGTATGTATGTATGTATGTATGTATGTATGTATGTATGTATGTATGTATGTATGTATGTATGTATGTATGTATGTATGTATGTATGTATGTATGTATGTATGTATGTATGTATGTATGTATGTATGTATGTATGTATGTATGTATGTATGTATGTATGTATGTATGTATGTATGTATGTATGTATGTATGTATGTATGTATGTATGTATGTATGTATGTATGTATGTATGTATGTATGTATGTATGTATGTATGTATGTATGTATGTATGTATGTATGTATGTATGTATGTATGTATGTGTGTATATATATGTATGTGTGTAAGTGATTGTATTTATATATGTATGTGTATACATATAAATAAGAAATAAAAAAAGATAAAGTTATCAGACGACATTTTGAACACATTGGTCAAAACAGCAATTTTTTATTATTGATTGTCAAGAATTTGAAACAATTTAAAAGAAGAAAAAAAAGTGTTAATTTATAAAAACTAAAGAACGAACAATGAGATGATTTAAAAGGAGATGATTTGAAAGGAGAAAAAATGCATATTTTTTAAAAAACTGAAGATTTAACAGCTGAAGGTTTAACAACTAAAATTAACTGAGAATTTGAAAAAATTTATAACCGGATATAAAAACTCGAAATACAGTTACACACAATACTCGAAAAAAACAATAGAAAGTTGATTAAATGGATCCTCTTACCGATATAAACAATTACCGATAAGACAATTTTTATTTACGGATAAGACAATTTAAGCAAGTAAAAATTTTATAAATGCAACAAATTTTAGAGATCGAAAGAATCAACATTCACCACAAACAAGTTATAAAGATAAAAATGTAAACTGTATTATGGAAATATATCAAATAAAAACTGAAAAAAAAAAAAAAAAAAGGTTAAAGCGCTGTCTTCAGAATCGGGAGTAGGGTGGAGTGATTTTCATAACAAAAAAAAAAAAGGTTTAACTTCAAATTGCCTAAGATGCGAATCGTCTTAAAATGAAATAAGTTTGATTTTGTTGATTATTAAGAAATTGTGGGTTAAATCGGATGTAATAATACAAAAATTGTGAGTAGAATCGAATGTTCTGCATTGACGACAGAAAAATATAACTTTGGTCAAATTTAAAAATGTTTGTTTTTAAATCTTTTTTTATAATCAATTTTTTTTGTTGTTGATATTTTTACCAATAAAAACTAAAATAAAATATTTTGTCCGATCACTAACAAAATTCCAAACAGCGATAAAGTACTGACAAGCTCTAAGTTTTATTCAGAACTTTTTTATTTAAAAAACAAACAAAACTGAGGTTGCCATATAGTAATTAAATTCTTTTACTTTGTTATAGTAATTAAGTAACTAGGCCATAGATTCTATAGCGATGGCAAAGACTCAAGTGTTGAGTAAAACATTTCTTTTAAAAATCATTTAGATAGAACTTATATTTATTTTAATGAATTTATGAAATGTTTTTTAGTTTCAAACTTTGGTAATTCACACTGAGGTGTAAGCTTAGCTCGGATGAATCCATCTCTTTTTTTACAAACTGATCTAGAAGTATTTGATACAAGTTTTATACATCGTTCAACTGATTGAGTGTGGCAAGGTATTTTTTCATATCAATTGTATCAGAACTGGATGAAATCATTTTTTTTTTAATTATCAATTGAGATGTGTCTTGTTAAACGAGGCTCAGTAATACTAACATATTGCCAACTAACCATATCTATGTAATCTTCAGTATTAAAATTTAGATTTGTCGAATAGTCCTCTGATTATCATATGATTCTCTACATATGATAATTCGCATTGAAGCTTATTCTCTACTATGTATTCTTTTATCCACTAGCATAGGCAACAAGATATTTTCTCGATGACGGAAATAGGCATTTCTTTGTAATACTGGATCAACAATACTCTTAAGTTCATTAGGTTAGTGACAAGATTTTTTAATCATTCCAAACGAATGATTGAATCCATACAAATAGGTTGGTTTCCTTTTTATTTTAAACCAGCTAGCATAGTATACTTTAATCACATAGTAAGTTAAAATTTTCTGATCTATTGATGGATCTAATGTGGAAACATATAACCTTAAAATCCTGTTGGCTATTGTTAACCAACGTGAATGTAAAATTTTTCCAGGATCTCATAGTGACAAAAACATTAATATATTACCTCTTGAAATTCCATTACAAATGTCAAAAAGATATTTATAATCAGCACTTAACTCTTTTGCATCAATTGTTGATGCAAAAGAGTTGAACTTTCAGTTTCATGTTGAACTTTCAGTTGTTTCTTTTGAACAACTTTCAGTTGTTCAAAAGAAACAACTGAAAGTTTCCGCCTTGTTTTGTAACTTATGAAGATTTTTTTTTAATAGACTTAGGGGAAAGCGGGGAAACATGGCGAACGTTTTGAAAGCCCTGAGTTGTTGCAAAACTATAAGTCGTGAAGCCATAATACTTTCTCAGTATGTTTATGTTGTTAAATTTTTTCATTGCCTGCATGAATTTTCAGTTTGTAAATATAACAATTTAAAATAAATATTAAAATGAAAAGTTCATAAATTTGTCATCTGGTCACGTGACCGGGGCAAGATAACTTATTATGCAATTTTTACCTCCAATTTTATAAAATTTTTAAAACTACTAACAACTCTAACTAAAGTAACAAAAAATAAACACAGTTTGAAAACAACTACTTCTAAAGAAGTTAAACTTGAAGGGCACCATCCATTATGAGAAACCGAAAATGAGGAATTTTTTTTAGGCGCTAAAAGTAAACTTATGTGTATAAAATTGCGTTAATAATATTTCAAAAAGCCAATTAGTGTTTTAAAATATAAGATGAAAATACAGTTTCGTTTTCACCCAATTTTAAGATTTTTTGTTGAGTTGTTATATGAAAACCCATCTTGCCCCATTCGCCATGTTGCCCCGCTTTCCCCTAAACTCTTTGTTTATGTTTGATATCAAGCTCAAAATTCGTTGATTGGATATTATCGGAATAGATGTTTTTTGCCATATACTTTTCAAATCTCGCAGTACAATATTTGAAATATTCATCACAGAAGGATCCTTTCCGTTCATTCTTTTTTCTTTCTTTTTTAGTACCAGTCTGAAAAAAAGATAATGTTTTATAAGATCTGCTTGCGTAGGAAGAATATTTTTATTGAGTTTCTTCCCACCAAACAAAAAACGTTCAAAGAACGTTGCGAACGTTCGAGCATGTTCTATGAACGTTCATAGAATGTTCTTCAACATTCGCAACGTTCGTTGAACGTTTTGTGTTTACTGGGTTGGCTAAGGCAAACACTTTGCAAAACGATTCCTTACGAGTTTTATGGATCTCTTCCTGATATTGATATTTTAAAATCTGTTAAAAAGCAAATTTAAAATTTTTGAACTTACTCTACACTATTCA